GGAGAAACAATTTACAGTAATCACAACTATTTTAGTGTTTCTACGACAAAAATAGCCAAGAAAAAGAGATTGTTCTGGAACCATCACCGAATCTGGTTGTCGTGAAGAAAGTTGCGGCGAGTTTAGCATGCGCCTTTATATTCATCAAATTTATCCCGGTCTTCCCAATACAACGCGTGAAAGGTTTGTTTGAAAAAAATTTCAAGTCTTCAAGCTTGCCACGTATAATACACATCTTTCATGATTAACGATTTTTCTTTTCAGAGGACGAATTTCTGGAAAACACAAGTATGCTTTACAAAATATGGTACTTAATGCTGACAACTATGCTCGCGCGTTTTAAATACTACCACGCGTGGTTGTTCGCCGATGCCATATGTAACAATTCCGGCCTTGGATTTAATGGCTATGACGAGCGAGGCAACGCGCGCTGGGACTTGGCCTCGAACGTCGACGTTTTAAAGTTCGAGGTGCGATATGCCTGCTGTTTATTATACTATAATAAAAAATGTTAAAATTTCGAAGTATTATTAGCAATTAAATAAGGAAATGACACGAACTCATCTTTTTATTGCCACACATGATGGGAGTTTTTCTAAAGTTACTCTTGCAATTTATCGTTTGATCGATTTTCAGACATCGCTTAATCTCAGGGACAGTATCGACAGCTGGAACAAGGGCACAAATTTGTGGCTGCGATCAATCATGTACGAACGAGCTGGTCGTAACAAAGTGATGTACACGTACGCCTTGTCCGCTTTATGGCACGGATTTTATCCCGGCTATTACCTCACATTCGCGAGTGGAGCGTTCTTCACTCTAGCATCACGTTCGGTTAGCATATTTTAACGTTGTGTTGTATTTTAAAGACTGCAAACGAATCAGATCGCTTTTCAATCTCCCGTATATTCTTTCAACAGGTACGTCGCCACATCCGGCCGCTGTTCCTGAAATCTCAACGAAAGAAGACTTTTTACGATGTCTTAACGTTTATCACGACGAGAATTCTAATGGCCTACATGACGTTCAGCTTTGTATTATTAGAATTTGTACCAAGCATCAAAGTGTACCTGTAAGTGTCATTCATTGTTTAAACTATCCCTAGGGATATAATTTTCGATATTGAAAATTTAAATTTATATCGAAGGACGTCCTTAATTACCGAGTTCGATTTTGATTAACTTATTTTTTTTTTGTTATTAGGTACTTGTACCTGTTCCCGCATTTATTGGGTTTGATCGCGATATTACTTCTACCCCGACTAGGGCTGTCGCAAACGACGCACAAACAGTCGGCCGCGAAGGCCGAAACTGATCTCGCCGAAACAGTCAGCAACGGAAACGCACACAAAACAATGTAGTCTTCTGATCCGCAATCTTTCTAGGAAAGACAGATATTTTTTATGGATGTTTTTATTATATATATATATACATATATATAAATGTACAATACATACAATATATACAATATTTCTTGTTACAAGATGCATTACAGATGTGAAAGTCTATCGATAAAGTGCTGTACGCACGTTACATTTATGTAAAACATCAAAATCGACGTATCGTTTTTATATATATAATAATATAAGTAAGAAAAGTTTTATAATTCGCCTAAATACATGGCTGTTTTATCTACGAACTCTATCAATCTATTCTTATATCGTGTTTAAACGAAAAAAAGTAACACTGAAGCTTTTATGTGAAAACTCAAAATAATATCGAAACATCAAAATAATTTGTCTCAAGAAAAATTTAAGTAATGATAATAGCTGTTATTAGAACGATACCGTAGACCGTTAAATATAATTACAGGCTACGACGAGTGGCCTCTTCAATGACTTCACGTGCACAGCTTTATTCGATCGCCGTCTAATGGAATATCATGTTTGTAATTGGGTAAAGAGAAGCACTGGGACTGTCGAGCGTACACGCGAAGCCCTATCGCGCGAACAACGGCGAGCGAATGCGTCTGACCACCGCGAACGATCAGTTAGTGTTTCATTGTTCGACGTTAGCGAAGAAATACAACGCACGGGCAAAAGCAGAGGACAATCTATGAGAGCTATGGTAAAACCTCTATCTATAACTTGTATTTGTGAATGTAATCTTCATCATGTTGCAGCTGTTGAAGATTTTGTCAGTATTTTGTGTAGGGAATAATCATTATTAAAGACAGATAGACAATTGTCTATTTTTACTTCTTTCAACACAAAAAAAGATATGATATCTCGGAGCTTCGAAAGGGCAGGTATCTTTTTTGTATGAGAGACGTCATAAAAAAGGAGTAAACTTTAGATTCTTGTTTTTATATAAGAAAGAATTGTTTTATTGAACTTCTAAAGCAAGAAAAATTAAATGGATGACTATCCATTTTAATGGATTGTTATAAATGGAAAAGTTGTAGATTTTAATGATCGAATAATTTAAAATGTAAATTAGAATTATATGATATTTGACGTGGACAGACATTTACGACGGGAACAACGATTTCCAAGCGTTCAAGATGATGAGTGTAATAATGATTACTGTGATTAATTGTGATTTGCTTACTGTGATTAATTGTGCGGATTATAGGTACTTGTATAAATAATTTAGTCCGCGTGTACTATTGAGACGGCACGTGTCAGTATAATTTACTCATCGCATTATTCTTAAGTGATTATTGATGTTTTGTATCAAGAATTTGACGTGTATTTGATAGAGGTTTTACTTATGGCAGAAAAGAGCTTTTGCCATAGCTCTCTGCACGATGTCGCCTTCGAAGCGAATCCGATATGCGGAATCGATGATTTGCAGAAGCTCTTTACCATGGTGAAGGTCGCGTACGCTATGCTGGTGATTACCCTGCTGCTGATGATGTGGGCGTCCGTGGCGCGGATGCACGAGCTACCGGTCCAATATCCGCCGTGTTTCTTTAATCCGCTATGCACTTGCTCGAAAGCCATACCGGACCTCGGAATAGTGGCGTGCTACAATGTACCGATGCCGCGTATACCGCAGCCGATTAATTCATCCAAAGTGTTCATGCTGCAACTGGAGAACAATGGGCTGAGGTTTCTGCAGCCACAGTATCTCATGAACACTGGTACTCGGTTGAATTAATATTGAAACGAAAAATCATATATTGTATACATATCTCTGTTGTCTCATGTTACTTTATTTATTTATTTTTATTATAAAATTATTAATTTATTATTAATTTTATATAAATAAAGATAGCATTTTTGTTTTAATAAAATATCTGTACACACATATGAAATTTTAATTTTTTGAAATAACATTTTATTAAGATACACACATATTTTCTATTATTATTTAAAATATCGTTATTATTAAATGCATTTTCAGTTGTGAATGCATTTGAGCCACGGATAGATTGTAAAGAAACCGTGATATGGCGTTTCTAAAATAATTGTTTCGTGCATTTTAGGCCTCTATAAACTACAGATTAAACATAATCCCCTGGCGGACATTCCAGAAGAAGCCTTTCTAGGTCTTGAAAGATCATTATGGGAGCTCGATTTGTCCTACAATCAGCTCGCAAGCGTACCGAGCAAATCGTTTAGACATTTACAAAAATTACGACTTCTTGAACTCACAGGTATATGTTATTCGCTTTTATCGACTTAAATCAATTACAATTATATATACACAAAAAAATTAAGAATTTTATAGTTCTGAAAAAGTTCTTTTGATACTTACAAAGCATCTAAAAGCATGGTGTTATATAGAAGATTACTAAAATTTGTAGTAATTTTGCATACAATCTTAAAGTTTTTAAATAAAAATATGACGAATTTCAATCAGGATATTTGCTCAAATAGAACAGAAGAGAGAGAGAGAGAGAGAGAGAGAGTATTGATAATGAAATTTATAATAACTTTAAAAATATTACACAGAAAAATTGGAGTGACATAATAAATTGAACACTAGCATTATCATGCACAATTTTATACGCAGGCAACAAGATATCTCGCATCGTGCCGGAGAACTGGCGTGGCTTAGAGAACTCCCTGCAGACTCTACGTCTGGGAAGAAACGCGATCGAGAAACTGCCGGCCGATGCCTTCGTCGGCCTCACGTATTTGGAGATTCTTGATCTTCGAGAGAACAGCCTGAAGGAGATCGATCCTTCGGTGTTCAGGGATGGGATGGCTCACCTGACGCACCTTTATCTAAATGACAATCAGCTGACATACGTGCCGTACGCTCAACTATCCCTATTGAAACGCATGAAGGTCCTTGATCTCAGTTACAACAGGATATCGAAGATGCTGCAGACCCAACAGGAACCGGAGATCAGGGGTATACAGATGTCCCTGGACGTGTTGCAGTTAGATTACAACCAGATTGAAAATCTCGCGTCCGGTGATTTTCAACACTTCTTTAAGGTCAACCGCACATATCTTAGAGGCAATCCTTTGATGATTATCGAGGTACAATAATGAAATAAGGATTATAATTTAATAAGACTTCAATCGAACAGCGCGAAGTCGAGAGAATACTTATAGGCGATACCTAAGAAATTAAGATCTTATATTGATAGTATTAAATAGTAATAAGATCTTATATTAAATAATAGCAATTAATAATACACATGTCGAATATTCGTGATTAAAGGAAGGTACGTTCAGAAACTCGCGTATTCGTGAGCTATATTTGAGCGACTGCGATCTACTGGAGATCAACTCGGCCAACTTAGCCGGCTTGGAATTGTCGCTCGAATTACTGGACGTGTCAGGAAACAATATAACTATGCTTCCTAATGGTCTGTTTCAAGAGTTCGATTTCCTGCGTACGCTTGTCTTCCGCGAGAATCGTATCGGCACATTTTTGCCAAGTAAATAGTGCACACTTTTCACAATTGGCGAACGCGAAACAGGTGGCATTATCCTGACGATGTGTGCTTTCAGCCGAAGTTTTCAACGGCTTCCAATATTCCTTGTATAATTTGGACCTCAGCGGCAAGCAGAACAGCATGATTTCCCTTCAAGACCTGCGACAAATGAGAAATATGCGTTCCCTCTCGATCTCCCGAATGCCACAGACGACTTTATCACCGAATGATTTTCTGGAGTTTGGCATGGACATCAAAGAACTACGGATAGTCAATAGTAATCTGAACACGATCAAAGGCCACGCTTTCATGCACGTTCGCGGAATTAAGTATCTTGACTTTTCTGAGAATTCGATATCGACGATAGATGACGAGGCTTTCTCGGAGGTAAACTCTTATTCCGTTTTTTTTAAACATTAGCTCAAACTTATGATATGAGTATATTAAAGAAATTAAATCTTTATAAAATAAAGTTAATTTACAAGATTGAGTGTGTTGCTATGTGCAATAAGAAAATTATATAAACATTACAAAGTTGTTTAAGAATTTTTCGAAACTTTACACGTAGGTGGGCCATTCCCTATTGACGTTAAGGATGTCTCACGGTCTCTCCTCCACAATTTCCGAAATGCCAAATCGGCCATTTAAATCATTGACGAATTTGCAACATCTCGATTTTAGCAATAACAAGATACGATCTTTACCTGCTACGTCTTTTCATTTTTTGAAGAGGATTAAACGAATTGAGTTCCAGGATAACGAAATCGACAACATACCGAAGGGTACCTTTCAGGTAAGTTGCCTTTACGCATGACGCGTATTTTATGTGACAAAAAAAAAGTCCGTTTTTAGGGTGATATCCATTCAACGATGGAAGAAATCAATTTCGCTTTTAATCAAGTGAAAAATCTGCAAACTCATACTTTCGTCGATTTGTCGGCCCTAATGGCGATTAATCTGGAGGACAACGTTATCGAGAAGATCGAAAGACGAACCTTTATGAATATGAATCGACTTAAGTACATTAACCTGCGCGGCAACAAGATTAAAGACATCACCGATGAAGCCTTCCAGGTAATTTAATATATGAATACATGCGTCATTCTTAAAAGACACAAGTTGTATTAAGTATTTGTTTGAATGTGCCTGTGACTATAGATTCTACAATAAATTTAAAGCTGACTGCTTCTTATTAAATATCTCATATAAGAACATTACTTATTGTATGTTTAAAATTTTCTATATCTTCAAAATTAGAAATTAAATCTTTGTTAAGCAACTTAGAGAATTAACTGAAAATAAAGATTTTATTTGTTTGAATTTTTAATTTAATGCAATTAAAGTTTGATATAAAATTTTTGCTCTAAAATAATTTTATAAGCATTGATCATTGTATTTATTCTAGTAAATTCGATAATAAATTGTTTGAAAGATACAGTATACATTACTGATAAACATATTAATTTTTAGAATTTACCGGATCTTGAATTTCTTGATCTCGCATATAACAATCTTAATGAATTTGACTTCGCCTCATTCGATCAAGTGGGTACATTATCGTCATTCAAAGTTAACGTTAGCCACAATGAAATTTCAAGATTATGGGTAAATAACACCGTTTTCACATCTCCGTTTGTCGGTGAGTTTAATATCATGTTTAATAAAAATAATCTCTCATAAGAATAGTATTGACTTTGTCTTAATTTAGAAATAATAAATAAAATTTAATTTTTAATTATTTTGTTTCATTCTGTTTTATCTAAATTATTTAATATTATTTATTTTTCTACTTATTAAGCTATTTTTATTCGTAGCTGTTGGCATTTTTAAACTGATTTTTTAATTTTTACTTTCAGTTGGCGGCAATGTGCAATCGAACATCAAAGTTCTGGATTTGAGTTATAATAATATCTCCGAAATCACGAAGTACTACTTCAAGCCGGTCGAGTACTCGCTCACTCATCTGTATCTGTCGAACAATAAATTGAAAAACATCACCCAGGATATCTTCGATAACATGCCTCACTTGCAGTGGCTCGACATGAGACATAACGTGCTGACGGAGCCAGATTTTGACTGCTTCAAGAATACGAAGAACCTGCAAGTGTTACTTTTCTCCTGGAACGAGATCACGGATATCCCGGCAGAGACTCTGAGACCCCTGAAGAAACTGCGCATCGTGGATTTGTCTCACAATAAGCTAAGAACACTCCCAGACAACATGTTCACTGACTCCAACGTAGAGAGTCTCGATCTCTCGCACAATCAATTCACGAGGCTGCCTGTCAAGAGCATGTCGGTGATTTCTACTGCGAGTTTGGCAAATCTGGATATGTCCTGGAACATCCTGTCGGGGATCCACAGCGCCGACACGATATTCAGACTCAGAGTAAGTTCATTAATCTGAGAATACTCTGAGATACTTGTTTTTCATTAGCTATATCGTCTAATTGTATGCTGCTAAGTATTATATTACACATTATATTGTACATTGTATTTATACATTTTTTAATATATTATTTTGTTAATAGGGTCTTGTGTGGTTAGACCTGTCGTATAATCGACTCGTTAGACTAGACGACGGCGTATTTTCCGACCTATCGTATCTGGCTCACCTCGACTTAAGTCACAACAAGCAACTCATTCTGGAGAGCCGCGGAAGGACGTTCTATGGTTTGGAGGACACACTTCTGTACCTCGGTCTGAGCAATATTTCTCTTTTGAGTGTAAGTATATTATTACGCAAAAAAAACAACATATAGAACAGTACGTAACGTGTAGCTTAGGTTCCAGAGCTGCCTCTGAGACGATTGCAAGCCTTATATCTGGCGCATAACGAGCTGGCATCGATTCCTCCGGAAATGTCGTCGAATCTGACATCTCTTCACTACTTAGATTTAAGTTTCAACGATTTGACAGTGGTGCCGTTGATTACCCACACGTTGCCGGAGTTAAAGACCTTCAACTTGGCGGACAATCCCATTACTGCCATTACAAATACCAGCTTTCTCGGCATAGCCGACAGTCTCGAAGAGCTCGATATACGAAGACTCACTCTGTCAGTCTTTGAAGTATGGTCTTGTTTACATTTCAAATTTGTACATTACGAATTTTGCGAGATCTCGTTTATTATAGACACGAATCGATCTTCTTTCAGGCAGGTGCACTCTGCAAAGCCACCAAACTCCGCAAATTGCATATTACTGCGTACAACGGTATAAAGAACTTCAACTTTCCCAACATCTTGGAATATAATCACGGTTTAAAGCATTTGCTCATTGATGTGAGTACTGAACGAATAGCATACCATGAAGATTAGATTTACTGAAGCTATAATGTTTTTAATAGGTTCAAAATGACACTAATCTAGAGAAGGAAATGAGAGGAAAGTTACCCTCCAAATTGTACAACATTACGTTGACTGGTAAAGCTTTGCAGAATATACATTCAGATATACTGCACGTAAGTTTTCGTTCTTCAACTCGTACTTGAACACATTTTTTTTGTAAAATCTTAAAGCAAGTCTCACGTATTTTTTTGTATTTTTTTTATTTAAAGAAATTAAAATTTTTTCTGTCTGTTTTTCAGATCGTAATAATTTTGGATCAGAATTAATTAACTTAAATTTTATTTAATTTTTATGGAAACTATACCTATGAGTTATTTAGTAATTCTATACATTATAGAACTTAAATTTTAACAATAGTAATTGGTTATAAATTTCATGGAAAAGTGTTAAATATTATTAAAGTTAAGAGTTATTAAGCGTTGGTTTTGAAATATATATTAAGTAATTTTTTAGGGTATGCGAAATCCCCATCTTCATTTTGGTTTGTACAATACCAGCGTGGCGATCGTGCCGCGAGAAATATTCAGAAGCGCGCAGCGTGTGCGCAACATAACTATGGAGATCCGCGACAGTGATACTCGAACGCTGCATAATCCATCGTCCACTTACAAGCCGGGAGTACCGGGCGAGCGATTTCTCATGAAGCTTCGATTAGCGGGCAATCATCTCAATTGTGATTGCGATATCGGGTATGATATAATAAAATCGAATTGTTATAGTGGGATACTTAAATGACGATAGTGTAGATTTAAAGGAAGCAAAACGTATAGCAGTAAATTGCAATGCCATTGTTTCAGTAGCACGAATCATTCAAAATGACGACATAGAAGACAAATTAATATACGATTTATTTGATTCTAAAGTAGATTTTAAAACTTATAAAGTTTTATTAATGTTTCATTCTTTTTGCGACGTAGTTCTTTATTATATGCAAATTTTTGTTTTGCAAAATATCGATTAATCTACTAACAATAACAATTTTTTTTACACAGATGGATAGAAATATGGCAGAGGAAGCAAAGGCAGTATCAAGAGGACCGATGTATCTCTTACGACGAGTTTCAGAATTTCGAGCGAGAGGATGGCGACGAATTCAGCTGTTGGGACAACGGCTGGGACGATGATCTCCGCGAGACGTTCTGTCTAAACAAAAACAACGTGTCATTGTCGAACTCGTTAAAAACGGAGCTGGAATGCGGATGGGGCGCGGCGAGTCGCACTATCGAGCTGAACACTGTAGTTTTCTTGGTGTTCTCGGTCGTCCTAGCTGTCGTTTATTAAGCGTCTCTTTCTCGACTTCATTGCCTTCTATTCAATATTCTCGAAAGTTGATTTGCGAATTTTACTGCGCACCCGAGGGTGAGGAAATGATTAACGATTAGATTATCATGCATGTTCATAAATTTGTACAAAGAAAGATTAAATCGCAATTAAAGAACTTCTGTAAGGGTAGCACCGTCACGATTTTATTCGTGCATTTTACAATACTGCATACTAATTGCGCATCACGAATTTAGTTGCAATACCAACTGCCATATGTACGATCGGCAGAACGATGAAACCGAGTATAAATATAAGGCAAACGTACACGCCGAGTAATTGTACGACAAAGATTGTGAGCTTCACCATAACTTGCTGAAAATTCTTGGTCTTGCGTATATCAATTATCTTGTCCAATACGAATCTCAGTATGAAAGAAAACATCTGAAATTCGGAGTTTCGAGAGATACATTCAATCCTTTACCCTTGGCTCGCTGATGTGAAGGATTTAGAAACGCGCTTGTATAATCACCTGGATAACGGGAGCGACATTGAGAATTATGTATATCAGTCCTAGCAGAGATCGCGCCGTAGCCTGAGCCATTACTACGATCAACGCGGCGAAGGAATATTCGGTACGCGGTGTACCGCAAGATTCCTGATAGGTGGCTAAATACTCCCGACAGTTGGAGAGAATACTTCGCTTTGCTCTGCCTTCCTGGGGCTCGTCTTCCTTGAGAACGTTCTCTACAATATTACAATATAATTCGATTACCTGCGTTCTCTTGATTCGTATTTTTTATAATTTTTTGTATCAATTCACACTAAAGTTGTTTCTTAAATCTGTATTGTTGACATAAGATTTTAATCTGTTATGGCGCAAGAATTGCTACATGCAAAATTTTTGTTGAATAAAAATTTGTAACATTCCAATAATAAGCAAAAAAAAATTAATAATTGTATCATAAATCAATATTATACTTAAATACTTGATTAGCATATTTATTTGTCACAAAATTAAGATTATCATAATTTTGCTAAATAATCTATTACTGATATTTGAAGAAGTAATACTGCACCGAGTTATTGTATGTTTGTTTAGTTATATATTCACCTAATGCGTGAGTGGATTTTCCGTAATTCATATGATTACTGATAGAAATGCTATACGGATTTTTGTATTTCCATGAGACATATTGAAGTTGTTGAATCATATTGCTTTCAAATGTGGACGTGTCATATTTCTCGGCACCTAAATTTTCAGTCGCGCTTAATGTATTCGGAATTTCCTCATTGCTCACATCCATTGATTGAAGAGACAAATCGTCCTTGCTAGAACAATTGGGTTTATCCGAGATCTAATAATAAAAATAATTCGTCTATATCGTATTACTGATATTATTATCTTACGTAATAAATTTTCGAGTACCATCTCGTATCTTTTTTTTTTCTTTTTACCTTTCTGCACAAGTCAGAATTGTCTGCTCGTTCGTGTTTAACGACAGGACTAACGGTGTTGAATTTGCAGGGAGCAGTTATAATTTGGACGGTTTGTTTCCCTTCGACGCACATACTCGTGAAATTTACGCAAATTATTTATAACATTTAAAGTTACATGCGGAGATCGAGTGACAACAAAGCCGAGTGGATTTATTGAGCTTATGAAACATTCATCTCTCTGGATCTCATGGATCGTGAATGTAGCACGTTTGCGCTAAAAATGTGAAGTTATCGTGGAAATGATCCTTTTAGCAGTATCAATTATAATCGTAATTATAATATTAGCATTTTTTAAATGTATGTAACAGTAAAAATTCTATTTAGAAAAATATACATATTTAGCACTAAGCTTATAATTTTGTAATTTTTTTTAATCTTAATTATTTCATATAAATTTATACAATATTATCTTGAACTTCAAGTAAATTCCAATTAATTTAATTAGCAATTAATAATTTTAATCTGCAGAATTGCTCAAAGCAAAAATTTTATTATGATTCGTTGCTAATCAAATCTAAAAATTATTATAATTTTATCAATGTTAACAAAATAATATTATTCGCGATAAGTTAATTGTCAATTAAGTTAATTATTGGAATTTGATCGAAATCACCCCCTATAACTGAAACAATCATAAATATACAAAATGTCATAAATTAAATAAAAATTATAACATTTATTGACATAAATTAAATTAAAGAAAAATATTTAATAATTCAACTATTTAACGCAGCTGGATATCATAAAAGCTGCAGTGTTCCAAGCGTCAAGTGGAATGCACCTACACAATTTGATATTTTTGAAACATTTTTTTATTTTTTTATTTGTTTTCGGCCATCGACAAATTTTTCAAACCTGTTGATTGGCTGTAAAATGAAGAGATCTAAGAATCTCTCTGTCCTGCAGTCAATTAACACGCTTAAAAAATTGTACGACAAAAAACAGACAAATAGTAACTATTCGTAAACCGGAAGTTACGAATGCAATGCAACCGGATGTCGAGTACATTTGGCGGTTTAATGGCGCTTCCATCGTCCCCATGACTCCATGTTTATTACGTCTAAAGAGGTTATGCGGTAAAAGCTCTGTGCGTGCGGACGTTTCACGACGAATTTTTGTACTCTACATTAAAACCAATCAGTCAAGATGGTAAGCGACGAGAATAATTATTATTGAGTACTCTGTAACAATTTTTTCAAAATTTTTCCGTGACTTGTGTTTCCTTTTCAATCTCTTTTGCACTTGTAACTTAAACTGGCGTTTTCTAACCTAAAAAAAACGCCCGAGTAATTTTTTAACGAAACAATTTTTTATAACAATAAAAATCACGATATACTTTATACAAAAAAATGAAGATAATGAACAAATGGTATATTTAAAAAGTATACATTTAATAGTCTGTTTATATCGACAGAGTTTTGGGTACACATTAATGGAACGAAATTCGGAAACAAATTTGCTTTGCTTAAAGCACAAAGAACAACAAAAATGTTATTGTTTGTTGTAAGCCTTATGTTGTCTGTATTTATTCAGCTTGAAAGCTAAGAAATTTTGAAAAATTTTAAACATGTTTATGAACGTATAAAAATACGTAAGAATCTGTAGATGAACTCAAAATTAATACATACGCGTTAAAGTAATTTGTTCTCTGTAAACATTTTATGAATATAAGACTGTTAATACAAAGATATTTGCGTTTTTTTTAATAACAAATTGTTTACTATTTTCCAGACGATTGGCAAAAACAATAAGATGCTGCAGCATATCAACTATCGAGTTAGGATCATCCTACAAGATTCTCGAACATTTATAGGCACATTCAAGGCCTTCGACAAGCACATGAACTTGATACTTGGTGACTGTGAAGAATTTCGTAAGATCAAGCCGAAGAACACGAAGCAGCCAGAAAGAGAAGAGAAGCGTGTGCTGGGCTTTGTGCTTCTACGCGGCGAGAATATCGTTTCCTTAACAGTCGAGGGTCCACCGCCTCCCGAGGAAGGATTGCCGAGAGTACCGATTCCAGGAGCCGCACCAGGACCGGGTATGGCTCGTGCTGCTGGAAGAGGTATGCCAGCGAACGTTGCGGGAGTGCCGGCTGGACTGCAGGGACCCGTCAGGGGTGTCGGAGGCCCCTCCCAACAGATCATGACACCTGGCAGCAGAGGTCAGGTCTCGGCACCACCTCAGATACATCCTGGTGGCCCGCCGCGTATGCCAGTCGGTGGACCGCCACCGGGCATGATGGGACCGCCGGCTGGAATGATGGGTAAGATCTTTTTTTGTTCTGAATATCCAGCTCCTTTAAGCTGTCATTTTATTTTTCTTTTTTTATGTTTTTGTCATATATTATGAATAATTTATATCTTTCTTTGTTATATTTCAATATTTAGCATATATCACATTTTTATTTGATACTTCTTACTTATCAGTATTATTTTATATTTAAAAAAAGTTTATAATTTTATTCTTCAGTCAAATACAATATATTATATAATATATTTGGTTGATAGAAAAGTGACACAAGTCACAAATGCTAATTTTTCACTTGTGTCACACTTTTCTTTCGTGTAACGAAATCTGATGTCCAATCTAGCATTTTTTTCAGTTCTTCATCACAATAAAATTTATGAGAATGATTATATGTATCGGTATTTTACATATATTAATTTTCAAGATTAGATTAGATCTATCAAATTATAGAAATAGTTACAAAATGTATATATTTTGCCGTCTTACAGGTATGCCACCCGGAATGCCGCCTATAGGACGTGGTGGTCCACCAATGGGACCACCTGGCATGAGAGGCCCGCCTCCAGGTTTGATGCGCGGCGGTCCACCTCGCCCGTACTAGTAACTGGATTATCAAAAACTTTCATAAAAATATAATTAGAAATAAGAAATTCTTTTGTAATATTAATGCATCGTACTCTTCAATCCTTGTAAAACTCTGGTGTGAATATATAACAGTTTTATAAAATTAAGATTCATAAGAAATAATAAAGTCTGCTCAGATAACGCTCAAATATCTTTACTTGAAAAAAATCAATATATTAGTAATGTTCGAAAACTTCTAACTCGTGCAGATTCTCTCTCTTTCTTTCAATTAAATCAGTCAAAAATATATTAAAAATAAATTTAAGGTTTTAGATAATGGAATGTCTATGTTTCTAAGATAAATTTTGTTTTAACAAATGTAATATATCTTTAGTTTAATATAAAGTTTCCTTAGGCAATGTTCCTTAGAAATGACAAACGTAGATATTAACACCATTAATGAATCTTTACTCACGTTTAAACATTTTTATTTTTTCGCAATTAGCTATAAATATTGTTTGTATCTGTACACAATTTGCACTAGTATCATTATATACAGAACAAAGTATCTCTGATTTATTGCATTAGTTGTCATCTACAAATTTTACTTCTAAATGAGAGTATTGCACAGATTTCTATAGAAATAGAAATCTATAGTATATAGAAATCTGTGGAGTATTGCCATTGAGAGAATGATGTACGTGCGCGGTTTTTTTTTTATAATTTCTTAATATAAACAATATTGATTCGGTAACAAAATCTTACATTAAAATTGTTAAAATAAGACTCGCTTTATAAGTTAACTAAAAATTAACGAAAAACAATTTTGAAAAACTGATTAAGTAATCCCTTGCCTTATGATCTAAATTTGTGACCGTCCATTTCGTAGTTAGGAACAAGATCGTTCGCATGCTGGGCCAATCAAGTGTCTGGTAATACGCTCTTTTTTGCTGGAAGATCAATGATATCATGATACCGTAATAAGAAACTTTCAAGCATTATCTTATGAAACATGAATCTTCAATAATAATTATATGTGATTATTTATATATATAAGAGAGCTTGTAAATATAAATGTAGATATAAGATATAATTTTATTAATATGTCTGACGGTCTAAAATAATTTATAACACGAGTTCAACTCTTGTGTTTTTTATGTTTGGGCCGTAGAATGTATGTACATACATACATATACCACGAATCTGATTCGCGTTTTTATGTTTGGCTTGTAAGCTGTACCATTCGCTGTTAATAAGGCAAGGAATTAAATCGTTCGCTTTAACATTTTTTTAAAATCGCTTATGCGAAAGTAAATATTAAATTACGCTTTGAAAAAGTCCGTCATTCCGGTAAAGAATTACGCTGTAATGTCTTTTCCGACTGCTATATTTCTAGATATATTTGGCGCGAAACGTTACCGCGTCTCGTGACACGAGAAATCTGAGACACTCAGTATATGCCGAGTATATACTCAACTGAGAGAATGTAATTATCTCAATTTACATATTGGTGAAGATTAGCTTAGAAATTCGTACAATAAGAATTTAGGCGAAAGTATCCTGCAACTTGGCGGAAATACTGCATAAAATACAGTAAAGTCTAAGTAATAGAATATCACGATATTGCGATTCGAAGGGCAGTGTCATTTCGCTTACAAAAAATATAGCTTTTTTTCTTGTTACGCTCTCTTAGGTGAGAACAAACTGTTGCTCTATATGAGCGAGTTTTATTAAAAAATAGCAAAAAATGATACTTCTCTCTTTCGCTATTGATAACTAATTCTATCACTGAACTTTTATTAACATTCGCAATTCATTAATGGCGATAGGGCGGAGGAAAGTATATATCCGCTCAACGTTCTTTCTCAGAGTGAGTACGTCGGACATTTACAAAATATTTACAACGCCGCTGCAACAGTAATATGAGCAAGTGACAGATTCACAAAACCAAATTTCTAGATACTTAACATCATAATATCACATTTACAAAAATATTTACAAACAAAAGTACAAAATGTTTTTTTCGAGTGCGCATGTAATTTGACACATCCAGTTATTTTTCCTTTTGCCGTGTAACGTGTAAAATTTATAGTAATTGCATTGATTTAATAATTTATCAATTTAAAACTAAATAGCAAAATTGCTAAATATGCAATGAAAATACAAATTTTCGAATTGAAAAACTGCATTTAGCGTTAAATATAACTGCCCTACATTTCATAACGAATATATTATACATTCAAAGAATCACATAATGATAATATAATCAGTAATAATACAGTTATACTTAGCGCTAAATGCAAATGGAATTTTCGGCTCGCTTCTTTTCTATCGGGAAATAGTAGCGGAATTAAAAGCTGACGAAGGAATTTACACTGCAAACCTGGGATTACGAAAAATTGAATGAACATATTTCTTTACAAAAGTATAAATTAATGGCAGATTGTATAATTTGGCACTTATATACAGTACTAATATTAATTAATATGTTTAAATGTCAGAAGCTTATTTTTTACAAATGATCAAATTATCTTATTCATTCTGTATAATTACGTAATAATGAAAAGATTGGCATCAGGCATTTTCAATCCTTCCGAGATCGTCGAAATCTTCCGAGACATATGTATATAAACCTCATTAAAATAGACGTACATATATATAAATAGAAACATACGCGTATATACTTATACATGATAAATACATCAGTACGCTTTCGAAATGAAAGTATCAGCCTTGCCGTCGTGTAATGACGATTACCACACGCGTAACGCGAGATCTTTAGTTGTTACGAGTCGTCGTGCTCGTCCACCTTTACGATCACCATTGACCTCGACGACTTCTCTAAATCGTGATTCTCGTCGTTGTCCGCTAGGAAGCTCTGCGAATTCTTATTTGTGGATTCTAGTGACGCGTCAAATGTATTCACGTTTTCGTTTTCGAATTTTTCTATTCGAACATCGTCTTCAACGGTCGCGTCTTTATCTGTAAAGGACATAATTGAATACTTTTCACAATTTATCCTTTTGATTTTGATGACGGATCTCATCTCTCGTTAAGATTAAGTCTAATACACTTGTGCAACGTACCGTGCATTTGGTTGACGGGTATATCCTTGCTGATTTCTAACGGAAACTTGAACTGACATTCCTTGATTCCTAACGATTTTGAGGATTCTAGGTACACGACTTGAGAATTAATACTCGCGTTAACGTCTTCAACGTTCGTATCTTTATCTGTAAAGGATACATCACAAATCAGTATGAAACGAAAAAATATACTTGGCGGGAGCCGCGTCTCCTGATAAGTAAATATAAACTTTTCATAATTTATTATTTTAATTTAATGACGGATCTCATCTTTCATTAAGATTAAAGTGCAATACACTTGTGCAACGTACCGTTCACTTGCTTGACAGGTATGTCCTTGATTTCTAACGGAAACTTGACTTGACAGTCCTTTATTCCCAATGATTTTGAGGATTCTAGATACAAGATTTGAGAATTCACACTCGCGTTAATATCGTCGTTTTTCCTACAAGAGAAAGATATTCGTTAATTCATCAAATTCTTAAAATTCGTTATCCAAGGATTCATCAAGAATTAATTATATTAACCTACACACACACACACGCACACACACACACACACACACGTGCGCGCGCGCGCACCTGATATTATTACTATACTGAACTAACCTATGTTGGTTTTCTTCCGATATGGAGGAATCTGTTTTCAGCGATATCGGTGATCGTATCAGATCGATCATATTTTTGTCGCTGTTGCACTCTTCCTTTGGCAAATTTATAGTCGCGTTTACAGTCTTAGAGTCAACATTAAGAATGGCCGGCGAATCGAAAAGCTTGTTCTCCGGAACGTCGTGCCGTAAACGTGTGACCACAGATACAACCGTTGTTTTTCCAGACTGCAAAATATTATGATTATGAGTGAACCTAAAGTGTCGAGGCAACAAATCAAACGAGACAATGGTAACAAGAATGATCGAGACAACAAATCACCTTTATATTCGATTTGACAGATTCTGCATTCTGCGACAAGTTTACAGTCGGCAACGTAGTCTTTATTTGATCTCCATTGTTCAGAGAGATATGATGGGGTTGAATGTTAATCGAGTTTACATTAGGTTGGCTCGTAACGCATAGATTCTTTCCTTCCATTATTACTTTCCCTAGCACTTCCTGAAACAGTCAGTAGAACAATCAATGTAATGAAATCTCTGTATAACCGAGACTTTTATTTCTATTCACAGATTCATCTTTGTACTCTTGGTACTGATTAGAATACCTTGCCTGCGTGTGATAATGTTACGGCTTTTGCCTTCTGAATAACGATCACATTAGTCTTATTTAATTTAGTGTTAGTATAATGAGGCATATTTACAACTTTCTTGGGAAAAATACCCTGCAAAAAAATATATATGTTATATCTCTTTAATAAAATATGTTTTTAATAATAAAAAATAAAACATTATTTTTATATTTTTTTTGTTACAGCAATTTTAAATTCCTGCTTATTTAATTTTATAATATTAAAGTTAAATAAGTAAGAATAATCATATTTACATTTACCGTTTTGGCAGTGGATTGATGATCAAAGTTTGCAATTTGTTCGGATGGCAGTTTCTTGCACATTAACGCTACTTGTTTAACTTGAGGTGGGCCAGGACCGCTTGATACAGTGGTTCCAGGATACACAGGCATCGCTTGTGTAAGTGAAGGACCTGAGAATTTTTATTATTTTTACTTGCATTTTTTACGTACGATATATAAAAATAATTGCGTGATAAGCATTCTTATTAACAACGAATAAATATCTTACTTGATAATCTAGTACTTTGTATAACTGACGTCACAGAGCTCTTCACAGATGATGGATTTGAGCTAGTATTGTCAGATACCTGCGTTGTCTGTGTACCATCTGCAACAGTAAAAGAGACTAAGATATATAAAATTGCACAGAAATCGAATGTTGTAAAATTAAACTCGTTCTATCTTTGATGCAATAGATGCGTACTTGTGCTATCTTGAGGTTGTGTGTCTTTATTTGAATGCACTTTGTTTATGCTCAAAACACAGCTTGGTACTGCCGGCACTACTTTTGTACTAATTTTATTCGGCTCAGTGCTTACTACTGTCTTAGGATTGCTGGCGTTGTTTGTACACATAGAAGTTGTAGCAATTACAGGTTTGTTTAATGGAGCTGCGGTGCACTCACTCGAATGTCCTGACACTGTTGTGCTCTCTTTAGAATCTGAATTTATCACGAAAAATAATTTTGAAAATTAATTAACACACAAAAAATATATAGACAAGATATATTAAACAATACAACACTTTTGTTCGAAAAAGAAAGCATCTCCAAATTTATTGCATTCAAAATCTATAATTTATAGAAAAAACAATTTTTAAATACCATACACATATTTTTCTTTCAATCACAGAAATTTTTCAGATTTGATATCATTTTAGCTTCAAAATAACTGATATTCTTCTGTGCTAGGCAATTCGTTTTCTATCACATATCCAATGCACACAAAGATATTAATTTTATTTCCAAGGGAAAATAGCAAGAAGTAAAAGAAACCAACCTGAGATCTCGTTATCAGTAACCGTAATTAACGCAAAATTTTTACGCTTGGTTACTTGTAATACTTGCGATGCTTGCTTAATATCGGAAGTCCGCAAAATATGGTTTGGCGGTTCAGATACTACTAGAACTTTATTCGGTGGCGCTGTCGGCAATGGGGAAGGAGATTTGCGCTTTCGAGAAAATTCCTTGGGTTTCTCACTAACTTTATCAAGCACCACATCTTTATTATCTATCCTCTCATCTTCGATCAAATTTGAATTCTAGAAATTATACAAAGAACATGATTAATAAAATAAAGTTGTAACCGCATATACTATAATATGTAGATATAATACAAACGTATATTTAAAAACCAATTACAAAAAATTAAAGAAAAAAATTTATTAAATATTTTTGTTTACCTCTTGTGATGTATTGCTGTTGAACTCATTTTCAAAGCAATTTAGTTTTGTATCAATAGAGTCTTCTTCCATTTTTAAGTTAGGATGAGATTCAGTTTCAGCAGCTGTTAACACTGATATATACACATATAATTAATATAAATTATTCAACTTAAATAAATCATTACAGCTATCATTTTATAAACCTGTTGGATTTCCAGATTGTCTAATAGTATTACATCTATTAGGTTTCTTCTGGTTTGCAATTGCAGTGGTAAGAGACAGGCTATTCGCTAATGTCGTAAATGCAGACCGCGCTTTTAATCTTGGCAAAAGAGGAACAGTTCGACGACCTTCCAAAGTCCAATCTATACCAGTATTTGGACCGTTAAGTCTGGATAAACAAAATTCACATTATTTAGACAAACGAATCGCAGTATTTTACAATTTGTGCCTAACAGTAATATAACAAGCTTCATTTTATAAACAATTTAATTTAATATTACATATGGGATTTAATTTCATTAAAATTAAATCCCATATGTCATATTCTTTATATACATATTAAACATTAAGTATCTCTTTATTCTTCTATAAGCTTCTCAAATTCACTATCGCATAGAATACATACTGTTCTGCAATTGTTGCAAGCTTCTCGTCGTTCACAGCTCTCCGTACTTCGGCACGATGTCTTTCATTGGAGATATGTAATACTTTAGCAAGTTCTTGCAACAATTTTTGTTTTTCGTTGGTGAAAGGGCCTTGAGCTCGTAGGACAGAGACCATACTTCCATAAGCGTCTAATTCTGTAGCACAAAAAGATCATGTATCAGAATACACATTATATAAAAATTAATTACAACATACACAAATGCTACTAATTTTATAAAGTGCATTTATCTATACATAAACTTTGTATTAAAAAAGTAAAATATATATTCTAGTACAGGATTGTCATCACATAGAATACTGTACTATACAGGGTATTATATTACCAAAGAATATAATTTTATATAAGTAATATATTTTAGAATACCAAATTTTGTATTACATTCTCACACATGTATAACATTTTGTATATTAAGGAAAAATATATTATAAATATATATTTTATATATTTTCTAGAATGATATAATTATTCAAGAAAATTCTTATTTAAGCACACATATCATTAGATATATCTATATTATTAGATACATCTTGATTCATATTTAAAATATTTACATAAATCATCAATACTTGATACTTATTTGAAAAGACATTTTTTTATTTATACATGATCTTTTTATTCTTTGAACACGGGCTTAAGAGCAAGAGCTAAATATTCTTGCCTATAATTCACCATTAAACGTGCCATCTAACTCCACGCCGTTATCTATATAATACAAAGGTCGTTTTCTAATATTAACATAAAATAATAGCCGCAGTGTCTAGGCCGTAAGAATCGCCGGGAGAATGCAGACGTCGGGCCTATATTTTCTGGTGTTGCGTTTCATGTTACATGCATCTGTCCGACGCATCCAATACAGTGACCACTGTTAACCGATGTGTTTAATAATTAAATATAAGACGACGATTAAGGCTTCCATGCCAAGCCATATCCGCTGAACGCGTTATTGGATCTCGGGAATTTTTAACAGGCCCGTTTCTCGCGGAGCGAGAAACGCGCGACGCCAGGATTACGATTTCGGCAACATCGCTGCGGCAGAGGAACGCAGCGGGGAGCGGTCACGCGTTCGCGATAGGATTTTTACGGACGGTAACGAAAGCCTCGCGGAGCGCAACCGAGAGGCAAGCATATCGACAAGGCTCGCTCGCTAAACGAGGCTATTATTCCCTCGACATAACCTTACCGAGGCATCGTAGGCACTTCCTGCACTCGTCGCGAGTCATCTCCGGCCGCATCGGCCACATGATTCCGCGACTCTTCCGCAACCGGGCCCGAGTCACACGCACAGGACAACGAAATCGGCGCGCGTCTCCCAGAGCATTTTCGAAACCTCCGTTGACAGTCGTGCGAGTCGTGCGACGTGAAGTTGTCGGGCTAGAACTATTTCATTAATGTTGTTATTGAGCCCCTGTTCCTGGTTTTAATCGATCGCCGTAAAGTTGGCAGCTTTGATAACGCAGCGGGACGCGCGGGACCGTACGTCACGCTGGTCACGCACGTGTTATGTGGAGAGTTCGAATCCTATTGGCTACCGCGAATAGATCATTCGATCGATTTCTATCCGGAAATGAGATTTGAATAATTAATTAGTAATACATAGATGAGTCTGTTCGTATTGCTTGCACTCAGAATCTTTGCTTTCTCTCCAACGTTAAATCCCGAAACACAATAGATGTCGTAAATCCGAGAGTACAAACTTTTGCATAAATCCCAAAATACAATAGGTGTGGTAAGCCTTAATAGCTGTAAGAAATTGATCAATCATAAATAATCGATTGCATTCTTCACATTCGACTGCGATTGATCCATTCCTTACGGCTTAAAGCTTATTACATCTATTGTGCTTTGAGATTTACCGTTATTTTCAATCTAAGGGCGAATTCACACCTTGACAGATAAGCGGAAAATAGAAAAGCAGAAGTCAATCAGAACTCGCGTTGGTAGTCAATAGTTTTTGCTTTTTGCTTTTCTTGTTATCAGCGCGAGTTCTGATTGATTTCTGCTTTTCTGTTTTCTGCTTTCCTGTCAAGGTGTGAATTCACCCTAAAGCTGTGCGTTTATTAGATATATCGCGTGCTGCGCGCTGCGCGACGAACATCGCGCCGCAGGTGTGCAGCTGGCCTTAAGTCAAAGGTTTGTCCACGTCCAACGAAATCAACTTTACCGACCGCGACCGAGCTAAAGAAGCGCAAAAATTTTAAATAAAAATATTGTATTTATTTATGTCAATTTATTTCTTTCTTTTTCAAGTTTTTACGCAGCAACTCTGATTGTGCCAAAACTTGTCAGTTTTCAGGCTAACTAAAAACATCATACTACAATTGTTTTACTCTGACTTCAGTCTCGTTCTCTTTAACTGTAATTTCAATTTTAAAAATCTTATTCTTCATATTCAATTCAATTCAAATTCGAAAATTCGGAATCTTGGCGGAACTTCAAATTCTTCACACTACTTCACAGCTGTTCGATGATGCCTGCTCGCAACCATAGGAATTGACATTTCTCGAGGCGCGAAATATGGCCGCCGGAGGATCAATAGAGGATGCGTGAGGGATTGAAATCGTCCCGTGCCCCGTGCCGCCGCACGGCCACGCACGACAGTGACTCCTCGCGATCGCCGCCCGTGAAACGCGCGACGGTCGCCGTTCCCATCGGATGCGGCGCAGCGACGCGAGGGCTCGTTCTCTGTGCGCGCGCGCGCGCGCACGCCGTTCAGCTGATTCGCGGTCGACGAGTGAAAGTGCTCCGAATACCTGTCGAGCCGTGAAGACCGCGGAGACCTGATCCGTGTGCGAGCGCGATGCGTCGAGCGCGAGGTGGTGACGTTCGGCCGTACTGAAAAAGTTCCTAATGCAACTTTAGGTAGTAGCACGACAATACGATACAAAAGCCGAAGGTCGATTTCTCGTAGAACAATTAGAAGTGATGTTCTTCCTGCCTCTCCTTCTCTCCCGTGTTTTGCCTAACTCCTGGTGTACAACGATGAAAATAAACCGTATACGACAGCCTTTCCTTTCGATTAAGACAATACAGAATTTTCCTGAGACAGCAGCAAAAGTGAATTTCTATTCTAATTACAATTTATAGAAAAATAGAGAATGAAAAGTGAATTCTTCTAATTTTGATAATAAATTTAAATTTTTCTACATATATAGAAGTCAGTAATACGTATCTGCAATATTTAGATTCTTCTCGTTTTTACACGCATTTTAATTTGCATAATTCTTGCTGCAGCCTGTTTCTTTTTCTTTTTGGAGTTCGCCGATACTTATGGAGGAGGGACCTGGATTTTCGACAGTCGTGGCTCCAGGATATATGCACATTTGGGACTTCCTCTCTCGTCACGTGCATATATAATGTGATAATGTGAATAATATCGTGCGTGCTTCAGTATGCCCCGTTGTTGACGCTCATCAGAATTGTTCCTTTGACAACGCTCCGCCTTTAACTATGGACCTCGGGAACCTTCTTTCACATGTGCACAATACAACGTTACTTATGTAATAGTCTGCATCTGGGCCACGATTGCATTGTGTGTCGCATTTGATATCTCGTGGGGAAGACCGCGCATCACTCACGGCAGTGAATTTAATATGGACACTTTGCAACTGGCTCTGGTGGCCGTCTTTACATTCGTCTGCGGTGTAATATGTACCCTGGCGTTGCAGTTTTACCTGTTCAAGAGGTACTTGGACTCGGGACCTCAGGTCGCTCCGCCGCAGAGGCAGCTGCAGCATGGCAAGGCGCAGTTACCTAAAGAGCTCGTGGAACAGATGCAGGAGGAACGGGCGAACTCCAACAACAGCATGGCCCGTCAGGCGATGTCACAGGGCAATGAGAACCTGGCTATAAACCTTACGCTGCAGTTCCTCTTCAATGAACTGCGGAACGCTGAACGAGTGCGTCTCTGGCTTTATAGGAAATTAAATAACGAATTCAAGGAGCTTCTGACGCAGTCGACCACCGCCAAGCTGTTAGACAGTGTGAAAGTAAGATTCATCAGTTAGAATGATTACGGAATGATGTAAGAGAGCCTTTGTATAATGAATCCTACGTAATTGTTTTTTTTTTTGCAGTTGAGAGACTTGAACCTCGGCACGCAATTTCCGACGATAAAGGGTTTGGAGGTCGCCGATTCAAAAATCGACGCTGACACGGGTTTACTGGAGTCTCTGGACTTGGCCTTAGATTTACATTACTCAGGAAACTTTCAATTGTCTATAGATGTTAAGATGCTGCTCGGTAAAACAGCGTATATGGCGTTGCAAGGTATTATACATATGGTATAAAAAAAAATAAAAAAGAAATAGGACTATTATATTGTTTATATATTGTCGATTTTTACAGTAAAGCGTATCAGTGGCAGAGCTAGGCTGCAATTTACTCGCGTACCATATACACACTGGTCGTTGAGCTTTTATTCGGATCCGATCCTGGAGCTGGAAGTGCAATCGCAATTCCAAGGCCGTCAATTACAGCCGCAGATAATCTCAATCATTACCAGTCAGATTAGGAGGGCGGTGAAGCGGAAGCATACCCTGCCTCGTTACAAGATGCGTTACAAGCCGTTTTTCCGAAGATTGAACGACGAGGCCGTGGATCTCTCAGAAGTGAGACCTAATTAATACCTTTAAATTTATTTAGCTTTAGATAATTCGCGTGTGTGCTTACGAAAAACTTCAATTCGAGAAGTAAAGACTAGCTTTTGTAAATTTGTTTTGATTTATTTTCGCACAATATCGGTATTTATATTCTTTTCAGGTCGCCAGTACTCAGCTCACTCCAGGTTACTTGGAGGTCGTACTATTGGAGATCAGCCGACTAAACCTCGCACCTATCGTCCTCAACAGCGGCGAAGACGTGTCGCAGATAGAAGTGTATTGTACCATGTGCATGGATTCCACGCCGTGGATCTACTTGACGCAGTACAGCAGCGTCCCGTACATGGTGCTGGACTTGATCATCAGTAAGACGGGCTCCCAGCAGCTGGGCGTGGTGTTCAAGCAGGAGGTCGTGCCGGAGATCGGCCAGATGTGCGTGCTGGTCGAGACCATAGTGTCCGGCAGCCCGGCGGCGATCGCCGAGATGAGGAAGGGCGATATCTTGGTGGCGGTGGACGGCAAGAAGGTGTCGAGCATGAACCAAGTAGCGAAATTCGTCAAGTCCGCTGTACAGCGACGTTTCATTATCCGGGTGGAGAGGCGATACTCGAAGGCGGATTCAAGCGAAAGAGGGCAGAAAACGGACAACGAGAGAACATCCTTCACGGAAAGGAAAGCGTCGAAGAGCGATTCCCTGGGCAGGCTGGACAGCCCGAGCGCGGAAGATGCCGGAAAGATGAAGTTCGAGGCGCAGATCAAGTTCTCCGATCTACGAGATTCCGACACCGATCTCACGGACTCCCGATCGGAAACCGGTAAACTATTCAAGAGAAGAAAAAGCAGCATCCACACGGAAGAGGTCGCCCAGACACCCGACACTACGCCGTCTCGACGAATCTCGACGATCTCCACGTCGTCGGCGTCATCCGGCAATGTTCAGTTTTACCTTCCGGACGACAGTAACACGTCCAACGTCACCGATCTATATCACAACACGAAAGAGAAATCATACGCCTCTCTGATCACCTTCGAGGAGACCAAGAGCTTCCGGATCGATTCTGAATTGCAGTACCTAAATTTGGGTGTATGGGGCCGTGTGAAGGGCGGTGAAACACCACCGAGACTGCTGGGCTACATAAACGCGCCTGTAAAATTAATCTTGGCGCAGTGTTGCACTTCCACGACTGGACATTATCTAAAATGTCACGCCTTGTTGCCTCCGGACAGTGGTAGGTTTCGAAAATTATTTTTTCCTCTTATCTTTTTAAATGAAGTCGATTAATAATAAAGAAATAAATATATTGTGTATCGGGATTTTATTTTGTTAGCTCTCGAGAGAATTATTCGAAAATAAATTTAAAAACCTAATTAAGAATTTCTTTTAAAGCTTCTTTAGCGACATCCTACGTAAGACTTCAGGGTTACTCGGGATTCGATCCAACGCTTTGTTACGGCGACATCCTGCTGTCGTACGTATGGGAATCTTGTCGGCCGAGCGATACGGTCAATGATTTCGGGAAGAGGGAGAACGCAGAAACTGCCAAAATTCAACCGACCCCAAGTGAGGAAATCGCCGACAGAAAGATGCACGATTTCATCAGGACACATTTCCACAGGGCGACACATTGTGATTTTTGCACGAAAAAGGTACGGCACTACAAATTAATAATTTATTTAATTTATTGAATTGCTTATATATACAAGATAAAAATAAAACTAATTACGTATCTTTGTAATGTAAAAATTTGATATCCGAAAGAGACAAAGTGAGAGAGAAAGTTGTGGAATACATGGTATATTACAATAATCAATAATTAAAAAATATATTAATAAACGATAATACAAACATAATCAATAATAAAAAAATGAATTAGACCGCGTAAGTGAATAACATAAATTTGAGAGCGTCTTCTACAGTCGATAAGATGTATTACATTTGTATAATCTAAGCATTCTAAGCTTCAAAAATAAGACTTTATTTTATTTTATTTTACAATATTTTACCCCTATTTTATTCTATCTGGAGATCATCCGAATTGCTTTCTGTGTAGATTTGGCTAAAGGATGCAGTACAGTGTCGAGACTGCGGTATGGTGTGCCACAAAAAATGCGAGATGCGTTGTCAGTCGTCCGGCACTTGCGGTGCGGAAAGTCTAGCAACGCTAGCGTTAGAGGCCGACGAGATCGAGCCAAACATCGGGGATATCTCTAGCCCGGAAATCTCTTTGACCGGATGCGAAGATAATGTACAGGTACTCAAGACGTAGAATTTTAGGGCATTTTGCTATTCGCGAGCGTAATCGTTTTGCATTGCGACGTACGATGCTTCCTATACGGGACAGCAGATTCGGACCGAAAGGAAAGATTTATAAGCTTCGATATTGGCAACTAGAAAACACTATTTACCTTTTTTTTAAAAGAAGAAAAATCTATCTATAGTTAGTATTGCTTAAATATTGAGTTGAAAACAATGTAGTATTTTACCTTCTAGTCCGACGCTGCGAATCTATGATAATTAAATAATTAATATTTGTGATATTATTTTGTATATTTGTATTATAATTTAGACACTGCTATGATTTAGACAATGTTTCTTTTATGTTTACACAAATATGCAATTTATAATCACATCGCAACGTTGATTCATCAACTATTTTGCAAGTATACTTCATGACTTTTTGAAGAAGTACACTCTACGTTTCTTATATTATAATTTAGATACTGCCTAATGTTGATGTCTTACCAAATGTAAATAAGGACTTAAGAATAATATAAAAATATTATATATAATACATATTATATAATATTTGTATAATATATAATATTATTATATATTACATATAATATATAAAAATATTTAAAAAGATATATATATTTATAATATTTATTATTTAGTATTTTTATATAGCAATAGTGGACTTATTTCCACATTTGATCGTGTCGTTTTTATTTATTTATTTATTTATTTCCTTTTGGAGTTATACTGAAAGAAACGATTTTTTTATGTGATATTTATTTTGTTGACATATATCATTTTAAGCACTGATCACGCGAACAAATAATTATAGTTATTACATATCGATGGAATATAGGACGCTTGATGATGTGTCACATGATTTAAGAGACTATACAAATTTCGAGGACTCACACTGTGTCTTGAAATGCATTTATCTTGATATTTTGTATATATAGAAAGCAAAGATTGTTAAGCGTGACTTGCATTCTGTTGTTGGCAATAAAACGAACTGAACATATGCACGGGGAGGTGAAGGTTCTTTATAAAGCTTGCACCTTGACCTTGCCTTTGTTCTCACAATGAATTACGAGTAGATAAATATGTTTAATTTCCTTTTTCGTATGAAACCAACATTTTTTATAAATTATCGATAAAGTATACAGTCTATATGTATGTAATACATTTGTGAGTATTTTGCAAAATAACATTTTTTTAAATTATTATTCTAAATAAGATTATTTTTAAACTTCTTAATGCAGATTTTTATTATGTGAATGCACAGCATCCGAATCTACTTATATTTCATTTCAGTTTAATGTTTCTGAATTTGGCTGGCAATTAATAAATGAAGAAATATAAAGTATTTTGAAATTTTATAGACTTTCTACTTTATTGATAAAACAACGTATATTTCACGAAAATAGCGCAATCACTTTTGCACTTTTAATTTATTATTTTATGAATAGCTTGTTACTGTAAAAGAAGAATGGTAAAAAGGTATTAATCTATTTAAAATCCATTAATCGATTAATCAGGGCGCAAGTATGATGGCCGTGAAGGCTAGTATAGCTAACACTCTATTGGGCCTGAAGAAGGCTGGAAGTACCAGTTGCTTGGCCCCACCGGCTTCCGGTATTGGTCTGGCATCTCGAAGTCTCCCCCCAAGTCCCTGTGCATCCCGCAAGGTAGAATAATAACACACATTTGTTCGCTCGAAGCGGAGAAGGAACGTATGTGCTCGATTTGAAAAAAAATTCTATCTGATAAAAATTTCTAACAGCTTTTATTCATTAGCATTGCTATCCTAATGGGATATAATGGTGGAAAAGAATTCAAGGTGATAACATTACATTTCGAACATATTATTATATAATTATATAATTATATTTTATGTTACTTTTAATTGAAAAAGATTACAAAGTATTGAAACTTAATATTTCATAATTAGGTTAAAAATGGATCTAAATTTGTTTATATTCTGCATTTTGCTTTTTTGATTTTCAAAATTGCATTAAATTTTGAATGACTAAAGAACTGCGGTAATTTCATTAAAATATTCTTTCTTCTCGCAAATTGTTATGCGATTTTTTTATTTTACCATTTTTTTACCTGGGTCGCATCAAACCTTCTCCGCTTCATTTTCTTTCACGTCTTCTCAAACTGAAACAAAAGGAAAGAACATGCTCTTTGAAAAATTTTCAATATCTTGCAATTCTCATGCTTGTGTGTTTATTCGCTTTAATCATTCCTTCATCAATCATGCCTTACAATCGCCCTCAAAAATACTTGTTAACTCACATACAACTATACAAGAACGCATACAATGCTAAAGCGATTGGTAACTGTGTATACTAACGACAATCGATAGAATTTGAGGCAATTTTAGTTAATCATTAATAATTAATCATTAACGTTTTCATAGATCACCCATTTATGAATGCCTAGATTCTTTCCCTCAATGCTTAGTGAATAATCACTCATCTACAGATTATTTCTATCGTAAGATGTTACGTTTATCACTACTTGCCCGAAACTGCTGCAAGTTTTCTCATTGACGAGGATTTTCAACAACACGATGAGCGCTGATCACACAACACTGATTGCATTGCACCTTAACACTGGAGGCAAGCTTCCACACGGTGATCATACAGATATAGGAAGATCAATGCGACTCACACGCATGATCGGCTCGACCGCTTGATTATGTTTCACTTTCCGAATCGGCATAACATCGAACAAGGATGCCTCTCGCCAGAGAGCGCGCTGCATTAATCAATCTGATCGAATTGTTGAAACGTTTAGAGTTCATTGGCTGGAGGTCTGGGAATAAGTCCTGACCTCTTGGAGGGTGCTGAGCCAAGTGTTGCAGCTCCACTTATGGCCGGCGACCTGGACGACGGTCTTATGTCGAGGGCCAGGGACACCGGCAAGTTCTTATATAAGTACTTGGAGCCGCAGGAGCGCGTCGAGAAGATCAACATTATGGTACGCGAGACTTTTTTATACAACTAACTTCGAAGTAGGTAACTCGAGAGATTCGTTGCACGGATCTAAAAATCCATGGACTACTGAATCGAGATATTCAGAAATCCAAGAATTTCCCGGATCGAAGAATTTAATTCGAGAATCCTTGAACTTCGGATCACCGTGATGAATGACAAAATTTCTCGTATGCTCAATATAAAAATGTACAATAACTGTAGGAATCCGTAAAATAAACATGTCTTTTTGCAGATGGGAAAACTGAAGAATGCGCTAGACGCCGAAACTACCTCAAGATTGGAGCTGTCCCATAACGGGGATGCGGACAGCATGAAACTGATCGCGCAGAGCGACCTGCGAGTACAGGCACTAAGCGTGCTGCTTCTGCACTACTGCGCCGGCTTGCAACACGCGCAGGAGGCGGTGGATCGACCGCAAGCCAGCAAGGAATCTTAATAGGAGCGCATCGAATAAACACGACAGCTTTAAGAGAAAATCGCATTTTACCCTATTTCTCTTCTCTATGAAAAAACGAAACGTGGAAAATGTAGCGATATTTGATAATGAAATAATAATGGTTTGCTTTCGCCATTTATGTTTTAGTATCCACTTATTTAAAATGAGCAACGACTGGATACTACTATGTTCATCAATTTTATGATGTTGATATTGCCGATTTTTAATATCGATTAATTGTAATATTGAAATTGTAATGTTATCAGGCTGTATAAAATGCACAGCAATATTTATATTATTATGCACATATAAATAGGGAGCAAGTATCTAACGGTATTTATAAACATTCCATCGGTGCGTATATCAGACTCATAAATTATATCTTATAATCACTTTTTCTCGTTTCTACTATTTACTGTAAAATATTTTAGAAAACATTACTTATACGTAGCATTATTATAACGTTACGTAACGGTACATTTTCCAAAATTTAACGTTGATGTAACGTTATAAACATTAATATAATGTTTCAGAGAGAAAGAAAGAGAGAGAGAGAGAGAGAGAGTGTGTATGTGTGTGTATATTTTTGATTGCATATTACGCCATAGTTGTTCCAAAGCCTATTCTACATTAGTCAATTGATTAAACACGACTCACACGAATGTCGGTAAGAAGACAGAGATGATAAAACATAATTATTAATTTATTAGTCCGAAATTTCAACATCCCGTAATAACAGATCTTTAGCGAGAAATCTTTGACAGTTACAAATTCTATTCTCAAAATCTCGTTTTTAGAAAGGCTTTATATCATAATTTCTACATCTTTAATTTACAGAATTTAATGTTAACAATTACAAACGAGTATGTAATTATTTGCACTGTACAGGATTAATCGAATTCTGCGTTACGCACACGTAACTGACACATACGTAAATTACACGCAAATAATATAATTTTATGTATCTATATTCTAATAATTTTATCGATTCGCCTGTAATAATTTGCGTTACATATGTAGCTGGATAATACTCAGAGATGAGATTATCGTTCACCAAGAGAGAACACCAAACTCGTTAAAATTAGTATTAATAGATTGTTATAATAACAATTATCGCAGTGTGCGTAGGAACGTGCGTGTGTATTCACGCGACAAGAAAATGCTTTGGTTTGTGAAAAGATGTTATCTAAAAAAAAAAGAAGCTTTCCGTAAAAACGATTTCTCAAATGCCGAATCAATACATTTTATCTGATAACTATTTTATGCGATATATATTAGATCCGCGAATGTAACGTGTGATGAACATATATTACGAATTTATAAGACTATTTATCGATTGAGATTGCCGATCTGTAGATAATGATCTGTACCGGATTGTTGAATACGGTGCACACGGTTGTGCATTGCGCCAAAATACGTGTGATAAGACGATATATTGCACGTTTCTAATAACATTTTCCGACTCTATGTCTTTTTGGACAAAGCCAATTTGCGATCTTAATCGTTGAAAAAATGTTTCACAGACGGAATTTTAATATCTATACTACTTTCTACGTCTCTTAAATTTACATTACATTCTACTGTTTATAATCCTTATTTATTAAATAATTCTCTTTCAGATTCTAATCGTACAAAAAGAAATGAAAACACAGATGCCATGACTCGACGTTTTTCAGTGTCTTACTTAAGAATCGCAGATGGTGCCAAATAACTCAAATCTCAACACAGAACATATCTATCAACTGGAACAATTATACTGAATGGTTAAACAACTACATATTATATATATTTGCACATTGAAGATGAAGAGAGAGTATATGTTTAATACTGAGAAAGCTGGGAGCGAAAAAGTGTTGGCGTTATATTTAGCATTAGATATGATTCTGCGATTCCGATCTCTCTATTTACGTAAAAAAAAAAAATGCAGTTGGCTTTTTCGACGGCAGTTGGATGGTGTAACGCTAAATGCGCTGAATGAATACAGATCTTTGACTGTTAAATCTATAATCAAAGAATTTTACCGCTTTGGCCTAAATTGATACGATGACCAGCGAAGAAACTGTGCGACTTTTGACTGTATTTAACTTAATTGTTCACAGACGTTTGCATTTAATAGACTTACGAGGCAGCTTCGTATTAGCGAAATCCATCCATAAGCATTTTTGTGTGGCTGTAATTTAAGGTGTTGCGTCTCGCGATTGCAAACCGATGTAATATCGCTCATTGTTATTCTATATAAAGTGGACATAAAGGTGAATATAGATTGTTAATCATTGTAAACTCACTATTTATGATATCCCCTAGTATGAATGTTTTATTGCGATCTATTGACGCTTGAAAATGTAATTGCATGATTTATAAGACCTGCACTTGATTTTTAATTGGAATTCTCATTTAATTGCAGATCATACATCAATGCCATTATTCGAAATAGAATTTACTGTAGACCTTCTGTGTCATCTTGCGAATTGAAATTTATTTATAAATCGAATAATATTGTTCGCAAAAGTTCTGCAACTTCAGAAGCGAGCGTCTACTGGAACGAAGTACAACGAAGTAACGACCGGAAGCTCATCGTATCGAGTTCTGCATCTAACGAACACGTTGCGCTGCAGACAGCACTTTGTTTGCGTGAGAGAAGCTTTTGTATCTTTACTTTTTGATTCACCCTCGTATAAAGGCGTACACGTGCTACGAAAGAGCCCGGTGCTGTTGAAGAGATACACAGAAGTCGCAATAAAAGTCGAGGCAGGACGTGTCGCGTCGTCGGGCCGTGTTGCTCGCGCCGGGGAAATTCCGCGATGAAAAATAGACATTCGCGAAAATCGAGGTCGCGTGAACGCGCGTCACGAGAGCGCGCGAGCGCGAACACGACATACATTTCTGTCGCGGTCCCGCGGACGTCCTTGCTGAAGATGGATGTCTCTTAAGTCTTTCGTGATCAGCTAGTCTTGCATTAGTTGTGTCTACTCACTTATGTGCATTTTTATTTGCACTCTTTTTCTGAGTTTTCGAGACGGCTTTTGTCTGACCTCAGTCCTGCAACGTCGAAAAAAATTAATTTGATTAATTCTCGCGAGAAGATCAGAACAAATCGCAGCAAGGATAATTCAAACCGCAAAGTTACGATTACAGATACGTATTTTTAATCTTAATGAAAATGAAGAAGACGCGCGAATAGTAAGAATAGTAAGAACGTCAAGGGAGGCACGTGCTCGCCGTACACCCGGCCGTGTTTGTGAAATCATCATCACTCGCGTAGACGATTTCCCAGTAAACATCGCAAACCGAAGACGCAGTAGAGAGAGAACACGCGGCTGCGTGTTACAAAGAACGAACGGACGTCAGCTGCGACGGTGCCGCAGGGCCAACGTACGCTGGCTGGCGAGGGTGCGAGCCAAGGTGTCCTCCCCCGACGTTCTTCTTCTGGTGTTTCTTCTCCGTTAAAGAAGGAAAGAGACGGGAGCGGAAGCCGATCAGCCAACGCAGAAGATACTCCGCTTTCTTCTGCACGTGTATCTACGAGTATCAACGTGTCGATAGACACTGAAAAGTCCATGAATCTAGTAACCCTAGTTATACACTGAGATGCAATCGAAAAGCATAAATAAAATATCAATCTAAAAATATCCAAATAATTGAAGGATATCTAATTTAAGAATATTTAAATAATTAAAGAATAAAAAAGCTAAATATTAAAAAATTTGAGAAGACTAAAAATTTAAACGCTCAAGAATGCTCAAGATTTTGAAATTATAAAGAGATTTTGAGATTCACACAAGATTGATGTGTTTAATTTTCACGTAGATCAATTACAAATATTTAGGAATCTAAGAATTCGGAAATCCAAGAATATATTCAAAATTATATCTAAAGATTCAAGGATGCTGCGGCGCGTATACCGACTACCACAGATTGGATCCGCGCGTCTTCCGACTTCTTCCCCGCTCTGATCTTCGTCATTTCATATCCTACGTCGCACGAAGAGGCGAAAACGACGAAAGAGAAGTCATGGGGGATTTCGGTCCGCGGCTGTCTATTTCCGTCGACAAAATGTACGCGCAGTATCCTCTGGCCGCGGGCCAAGCACATCGCGGAACCGTATAAACATTTTGTCCCTGTTGAGCACTGAGCTTCACAATGAATGGAGAGCAAAGTCCTCTAACGCGGAGGAAGAAGAAGCGCGCTCGACTCGCTCGAGTGGGGTTGCAGACAGTGGCGAAATTCGTTTCGCCGGCGCGTCGATCTCTGTTGTTTTCCGTCCTCTTCAAGAAATATACGAGACTTCAGTTACGAGTAAAATATTAAAATATAGGGATCAGCGAAATGCAAAGGGAAAATAAAACGAAATATTATCTATTTTATAACAAAGCCGTCGTTAAAATAAAAAACATACTCGTGTAAAAACGCGTACGCGATCTATATATTTTTCAAAAAATAAGAAAAAAATAGCTTACTGACAGATTCACGACAGATATCCAAAGGTAGTCGATTTCTCGCTTTTTCGCGAACTTGATGGCCAAAATTAAACGTGACTGCATATTTATGTCGCTTTGTACCACGAGACGCGGTCGCATTTTTGGCAATTTCGCAAATTCTTCTGAACATTCGTATGATAATTTACTATTAGACGTGCGAAATAATGACGCACGTCTCTGCTCTATTACCCAAATATTAGACTGAATTGCGTATAGTAAAACTGAGCACTGATAGTAAAACTCAGCACGTGGTAAAAACAATAAATATTTATTGCGCACTTTGAATTATTATTATTCTGCAAGCCAGTTTTATGTTTGCAAAATAATATCGGCGAAGAAATATATGAAGATAAAGAACTCTCGATTCATATCAATTAATGTTTCAATTTTAAATATTATGTCTTCTATACGATGTTAGGTAAAGATAAAATAGTATGCTATATTTTAGCATAGATAATGGAATCCGGAATGGCGCAGTGGGCATTTTGCCCTGACGTAACGCAATTTACACAGTATTATCGATCTTCATTTTGCACGTCAGTTTAAGTGAACAAATTTTGCACATACACGTGGAAAGACCGGATGTGAATGTATCTTCGTATTTCTTCGGTTACTCTGAGTCAATTCTTAGCATCACGATCTTTTTTCGACTTCGTCCTACATTTATGATTTTTAAAAAATCAATTATATGTATTATTTTTGAATATATTTAATATTTAAACAATAATTAAGCACAATATTTTTGCAATAAAAAAAAGTATTTTAAAGATGTTTTTTTATGACACGAAGAGTAATATTCTGAAAAAGTAATAAAGTAGCTTGCAACAAAGAGACTGTATCTCGTTTGGAAAATTTCTTTGTTCGCGCGAAAAACTGCGCAGTCAAAAAGCTCGATGCGCGTCAACACTGACATTGGAGCTTTTTGATCTCGATATGTAATCTTGAGCTCTCCTTCAACGATATTTCATCGTTTGTGATTGTAATGCCGTGAAATGAATCATATTCTATGTAATAAAACTAAAACTGAATTCGTCGAATTGTTACAAAGCTTTAATCTGAATTTAATCCTTAGATGTACAGATTTTTTAAATGGAGATTTTTAATTCTTTTATATTATAATTTCAGTAATTAGCATAAAATTAAAATTGTCTATTGATAAATTTTATACAATTTGCATTAAGATTTTCTTTATATTAAAAAAATATCTCGAGAGAAGATTAAAGTATACTAAAATTAGCTATTGATAATTTGAACACGATTTTACTGCCGAAGCTTTTTTTTTAAAGAAATAGGTTTTTGTTCGTGAAGAAGAAAACGCAAGACAGTCATAAAGATATAATTTTAACGCGAAAATTTCGATGACAATTTTAGAGAATCTAAACAAATCTCAAGAAAATTCTGAAACAGAAAAGAAACAAAAAACGATCTTAACACGATTTTAATTCCACGGAAAGCATTCAATATTTAATAAGCAATTTTAAAACGACAATTTATTAATTAATAATTTTTCTTTGATCGTCAAAACAAAAGAGACCTGCAGAGAAGAAACATGATTTCCAAAGAAACCCTGAAACAGCAGGAAAATCTTGAATAAACGTACGATTCTAACGCGGAAATCCCGACGTCGAATTTGACAGCTTGCATGTCGTACAGTGCATCTGGCTGCGTTTGTTTTCAAACAAAGAGAGGGAGAGTGGATACGCACACATACAAAGTAGTCAGCTGTTTCGAGACGCTTCCCCGATGGCGGGGGAAGCGGCGAAGGCTTAAATAGCACCGCGAACACTCGTGCACGCAGTGTCGAACGGAGTCACCTGAAACGGACTTCGGTCGTCGTCGTAGTCTTCAGGTACGAAAGGATCGAGGACCCGTAAAGTCCTTGCAAATCGCGTGGGAAGTCGGTTGGACTTGCGTCCCGCTGAAGTTCGCTCGCGAGGATCCTTCAAGAATCGTGCTCGAGGTGGGCTTCGTCCTGGACTTCATCCTGAAACAAAATCCACGCCAGATCTTGAAGAACTTGTGTTCCGATGAAGAATTCGGAAATCTAAGTTTTTTATCCGGATGATCCCTTGAGGAACACTCTGGTCTTATTCGAATTAAATTCGAATCCCGCAAAGAGTTTTCATAAGGGAGAACATCCTTGGCAAACGTTAGGATTTAATCTGCACGGATTTTCATCTCGGTAAAATTTTCTACGCAAAAGAAATCGTTTAAACTGAGAGAGTTTATAAGTATACCAACTCCTCTGGATTTCTATTCAGCTGAACTCTTTCTACTTTCGGTACCTTTCTACTTTTCGGATTTACGGCTTAGATATCTGCCAGTGACTTGCAGCGGCTAGCTACCAACGGATGCAAAATTTATAAGAAGAATAACAGCCGTTTAATTGAAGCCTGTAAAATGTTCTTCTAGCGATTACAATAGAAATCGAGTAAAAGAATTGTTACTGCCAGAGTAATTGTTCCTCGACGAATGTACGAAAATCGGTGCTGATCTTCGACACGACAAACTCGAGAAATTTACATTCGCGTGCTTATCGCCGTACGTAATCTCTCGTACAACGAAGTGTGAAGAAAACATGAGGCCGCCATACAACGAAGAGGAGGTGCAGCAGATCTCGCAGGAGCAAGGCGAGAGAAATGTCGCGATGGCGGTCTGCGTACAACTGGCTGGTCGGGCGATCATCAGGGTGATTTCACGATGTGAAGAAGCCCAGGATAATTGCAACTTAGGTAAAATCGAATATGGAGAATATTATAAAGTTGTTTAAAGACATCCTATAAATATTAAAGATTTTCGTTGGATTATATCTAGCGAAATTCTGGATCTCTCTTTTCGCAATGTTCCTTAGACAGTTAAAAGATAATACAAACTTTTAAATCTTTTTAATTTTTTGGTAATACAAGAGTTTTAATGAATTTTAATGCTGAAATGTCACGGATCTATTTTGAACTGTATACGTCAAATACAAGTATTTAATACGATAAATGCGGAAGTCTTTGACAGATTATAAATTGAATAGTGTCGCGCGACATTAATTACCAGCACATCTGTAGTTAAAATCGTCCGTGAAAGAAACTCGGTTAATTATCTTAAGTCGAGTTTGTAAACACCATATATACATGTGTCATTGTTGACAGTACTTCCTGATTCGAGATAACTTCCACCCTTAATTGCCTTATCTGTAACGCTGTCTACGCACACCGCGACCTTGATCAGCAACGCTTTTGCTGTTTTTAATTTGCCGGTGCTTATGACTCACCACCTTTCATACAACGTACTCCGTAGACGATTGCACAGACTATAATCAAACGCAGGTTACCATTTAATAAACATTGAAAGCAATAAATTCACGAATTTTTAAAATTTAAAATCTTTAAAATCAAGGTTTTTCATATAGACGAAAAAACTATTTCGCCGAACGAATATTCACAAAATTTAAAAATAGGTATATGCGTAAATATTCGTGATATTGTTTGGTATAAAAATTTACAATATTACGATTCTACTAAATCTGCAACTTGCACTTGAAAAACGCAGCCACAAGAAACATAGGCACGAAAAATGTATAAGTAATAAAAATCTACAGTAAAAATTAATATTAAATTGATTAAATATCTAAGAATCCTTTGAATTTAAATACGTGTGAGATTTAGGATCAATAATAACAATTAAGAAATGTAGAGCCTATTTTATTAATGCTTTATGTTTATTTACTTTGATTAATGTTAAAGATTTGATTATTAAAGATATTAAAAGACTAGCAAAAGTCTAATATTAATGGTTTGCGAGACCAAGATTCATCATTGTGGTAGCAGAAACTTGTTAAAAATCTGTAACATCAGAAATCTGATTGGAAAAGTTGTGAAAGTTCTATAAATATCTGAAACTGTGGAGAGATCCTTAAAACGTAGTTTCTACAATATAAATACAGGATTCACAGTGTAAATCAATTATCGGATTGCGATAAAAATATCGCAAGTGGCAAGCGGTAGAATCGCGACAATGAGTTTCTGCGTGTTGTCGTGTTAATGTCTATCTTATCTAATGCATTATCGGTGACTCAGTTTGCTTTGTATACGACTAATAAACTTTCCTACTTTCTTCAAGATTCGCGATACGCTTTTTCTTATATACGCATAACGCTGCAATTACGCATCAAAGAAAAAAAATTGAAAGAGGAAGCGAGGAGCGGCTAATAAAAATTGATCTACGATCGCCGAGCGTCGGGACGCAATGTATTGGTGATTTCCTGTTGCGGCTCGGCAAAAAAAAAACTTATAACACAGTTCCGTAGAAAGTACGGATCACGCCAATGACGTACTCATCGCGTAAAAGCAATCACATAGTACGTGAAGAACATTTCCGTTCTACTTTGCAATTTAATATTAATTTCATTAAAGATGAATAGATGCAATTATATCATAATGAACAGTGTGAAGAAAGGTGCATTACAAATGACAAAGTATTACAAAAAAATATTTCTTTTTTTCTCATTTAATTGTTCTGGGATATACCGCTTATGAAACGAATCACAATGATGTAACTATAACGATAAATTACTGCAGTTGTGCAAATATAATTTGTTTTTTAAAGATTCTTAAGACATTTAGAGAAAGAGAGATTTCCTGCTAGTTAAAAATCAGGATATTTACGATATTTACAAACTAAGCTGTTATTACAACAGCTAATAAAATTGAAGACTACATGAACCTCCCAACGGTGGAATGATTACGCAGCAATGGATAAATAAATACGGATGGCGTTTCTCGAGCACATCAGCTCGGATAAAAGTGAAATGCTCGCTTCGCAACTCCGGCATAGATAATTGACTGGATAAACATTGCGTTACACAACGCGCGTATCCGGCCTTTGTGTCTCCTTCTCGCGTCGTGGAGCCTCGCGAAACAGCCGTGATCCTCTCTGGTCGTATCTTCGTCTAGTCCGGACCGGTCGCGCGTATCTTCGGGACACCCGATGCACGCACGAAAGGTCGATCTCGGAATAGTAAAGCGGAACCTTGGCAATGCTGACCTACGCGCTCCGAATATCGCCAGGAGGCTGTTCCTCCCTTATGAACTTTTTCATTGTGGTAGCTTCACACAGTCAAATGCGAGACGTGCATTGTAATACAAATAAAACGACAAAAATTTGGCTACTATAAAATATGGTAATACAGCAATAAATCTCTGGTACCACAAATCTTTCACTAATTTTTAATTTCAGATCAAATTCGAGTCATATAGATTTCGGTTTTCGTGAAACTGTGATTTTACAAATTCGCGTACATTAGCAAAGATGTAAATACAAGCTGATATTAATTTAGATTGTAAATTAGATCTTGTTAAATCTTTAATATTGCGTCCAGTAAAATAGAAAGAAAATTAATTTGTATAAAAAAATTTTTTTTTCCTTTTATCACAGTTGTTGCAGGAACGTAAATTCGCTGCTCCGTTTTGGCAGGTGTCGGAGCTAAGACTTTCGTGCGTCGGCATGGAAGAAAGATCCCATGCGAATTCAGAAATGCAGGAACTTTCCGAGAACACGCAACGCACAAAACGTTCACGACGCGAGAAGTTTCCGTATAGGGCCTCGCGACCTTAAATGGCAGCTTGCTATCGGGGCTCTTTTACTACTTTTTGGCGAGAAAAACGATCGCTGTGTACGCGCGTTGACTAGCCGCAGGAGCAATAGCGCAAAGTAACTTTCATACTAATTACACAATGACTCTCATACTAATTGCACAATCCCCCGTTCGAGCATTTTATCCTTGTTTATCTTTTATACAAATTATATAAGGCGTAACAACTGCACATATAATCCAATACTTGTTTGTGAAAAAGAAAATCACTTTGAATTCAAATAAATTCAAAAGATAAGTTAAAAAAAACAAAGAATAAATTTTCGTGAAATATAATATTAAATTATGCTTTTTTCTTTGTTTATTTTGCACTTCAATATAAGAGGATTCAAAATTTTTGATAAGAATCAAGAAATAATCGTATACAAGTTCAAGATCTCCGATAAAAACATTATGACTCATAAAAATATATTTTAACAAAATTAAGTATAAGGCCAAGTGATTCAGGGCAATCAGTAGTCTGACCGGAAATGGCATCGTGACAAACAAATAGCAATCTGACTGACTATTTTCACGCCTGTCCCCATACGTTGAAAAAATAGTCCAAAATTTTAATTGACCAAGCTCATCGAGCGTTTACGAGATGTTCCAAGTCTTCGATTTCTGATATCGGCGCAATTATAGTATATTAGCGCAATCGCGGTGTAGCGCGCACTCGTTTGGCTGTCACGGAAAGTCCGCGTCTTTCCGATTTTCCCCTCGCGATAACCCGCTTTCCGAGAATGAGCCGTGATGAGTATCACGGCCGGCCAGGTGGTGGAACTTATTTCGGCAGGCACGCACAGAAATAAATGTTTCAAACGCAGTCGCAGCCGCGCCGGTGAGTCAGTGCGGCGACGGCCAAAATGGCGAACGCCGTGACGAGAGTGGTTCTTCGCTGCGAGGAGGCGCAGGACAACGAGAGCCTCGGTAAAAATTGCACAGGATTCGGTGAAAGCGATCGCGTCCGCGATTCCATTTGCACGCGCTTAAAATTCGGCAAGAAGGTTATTAATTATTACTAATCCGCGCCATCGCGGATACTACTAATTCGTGCGGCGAGACTTCCATGCATGTATATATGTGTTTTCGTAACGCGCTTCGCATTGGTGCGCGACCGGGACGTCAGGCAGGAATTACGAAAATGCGACTGGACTGGCACACAATGCTCAAGCCAAAGAAATTTCATTATACAATTGTACAGTTTTCTCCTTGCGTCAGATCTGAGAGATTTCGATATTCAACAGAGCGGTCTGCAGATTTGCAAACTGACAATTTTATCTCTGTCGATCGAACTGTGTGATTGCGCTTCACCATAAAGCGTCGTCTACAATTAAGATTTAAGAAAATTGATCAATTATAGTTGATTATTTATCTCACGTAAGAAGAATAATCGATTATAATTAGCCATTTTTTTTAATTTTAAATCTTAAGTCTCATTGTAGACGCCGTTTAAGGAACGAAAAAAAAAGAAAATATATAATTTAGAAATATAGAAAGCATCATTTTTCTCAATTATTAAGATTTGGTTGAGGATTAAATAATTTCTGTTTGACTTCACAATGTATTAACAAATCCACGCGTTTGTTCCTTGAATTACTAAATCGCGCAATTCCGCGGTTCGTTATCTTTCCGGAACTGCGCGTCCAGATGTTATAATGATCGCGATGATTGATACATATAATGCGGAATACGTTTGTTCCGTAACGCGCGTTCTCGGCTCCCGCGCTCGAGTTAGCTTCAAGCGTCGAACGGTCTTCCGTGCTGGCAACCGCGCCGGAGAAAGCGTAAAACGCGCGGTGCGCTGACGTTAAGTGCACTTTCAGCAGTTATGATGCGCCTAGACTGGCGGTTTCCCATTTTTTTTTTTTTTTTTCGAGTGACGGAACACTTTTATGATTTCATTATTACAGCTTAACTGATGCTGTCGATATTTAGACGCGGGAAAGTCATATGTCTTCTCGGTTTAACTTTAATCGCATAGGAGGAACTCTATTTATGCATCAAAACAGACTACCGCGAAATAAATAAAAAAATATTGAAAAAATTTATTTTAAATTGTAAAAAGAGCTTTTATATCATCCAATTTTATAATAAATATATTTATTAGAATTATATAAAATATTTTTTCACTAACACGTTACGTATTTGTATTAAAAATTATTATTAAATGTTAAGAAAGAGAAGGCATTTATATAATGAATAATTAGGATATACATATGTCGAAAGATACAAGATCGCAATGAATAATAACGGCCTTCACTTTCATTTTATTTATGAAGAATGTGCAATCGGACTCTCTAAAATCAAAAATATTAATTTTTATCCTTAAAACATAATTTTCGTTTCGTAGAGTTTATTGCTAAAATTAATTTTGAATTGATTTCGTTAATTAATTTCGAAAATTATTTCAATTTCTATATGCAGCAGAAATTTAACGGGACCCTCAAGAGTAATAATATAAAGTGACGATGTTTGTGTTTATTTTTTTTCAGGGAATTGTACGTTCTTTCGTTTTACTTTTTAGACTTGTCGGAGTGCCAGCTCATGCAAATCCCGGACGCAGTTTATCATCTGATGCGGCACACGGAGCTGAAGAGATGCGACCTCTCCGGCAACGTGATCACAAAAATCCCGCCAAAGTTCGCCGTGAAATTCTCATTAATCACTGGTGAGTGATAAGCTACATATATGAAGTAGTTTCAGATTGCTCTGTTTATATTTTTTTTCTCATAAAATTTACCTTTGAGAGAATTCGCGTATATAAAATCTACGTTATTCCAAAACGCGTATCATTTGCAGAACTAAACTTAAGCCACAATCAGATGAGCAAGCTGCCTGAGGAACTGGCCGAACTTCAGGCTCTGGAGAGACTCGATATCTCGCACAACACTTTCATCGCTCTACCATCTGTCGCCTGGCGAATACCGCAGCTTAAACGACTTCTCGCCAGCAACAATTTCATCATCGGTCAATATCAATTAAGTCATTACATAAGATTTTCTTCGAATATTATCAACAACTCAAACAATTAACGGCTCGCACAATACATCTACTTCTCTCCGAGAGTATCTCTTATTATTAGGATATATTTTATTTTTTGGAAAGTATCCTAAAATTATGCACTCATTAGAATATTTTACGATACATTAGAAATATCAATGTCATAAATATACCATAATTTAAGGATTAAGACCGATATAATTTTGATAAATTCAATTTCTGATGGTACAAATCGACAAAAAGATCCTACGAAAATTACTATATTCCCGTGATAAAAATAGAAGAATTTTTAAAGTATCTAAACCAATAATTCTTAAAATGACGAGCATTGTTAGTTTTTCAAGTAATGCCATTGAAGTAATGCCAATGCGAGCATTGATTCAATTTTATTGTTAATTTTATTCTGCAGATATCGATGTCGAGAGGCTCAGGCACGCGCCCGTCCTGGAGTTCATCGATCTACAGGCAAATCCGCTACCGCCGAGATTGCACGACCTCCTGAGCACTCTGACCAGGATCACGATCGAGCTTACGCCTCGGCAGATCGAGGATTGGGAGGACTTGAATGTTTAGAGCTACCTCCCAAGCGAGAGCAGAGCCCATTTCGCGACGAAAGACGACGGAGAGACGGTTTCGTCCCCCGGAGTTCTCTCAACGAAGATTGCTCAAGACTTCGCGCGAACTAGAAGTAGAATCGATATTTTGTACAGTGATAACGCGAACTGTGTGATAAAACGGGTGCCGCGGATCACAAGTCGCAAGCGGTCCGCTTGTGTATCTTTTGTAAATGTCACTAGTGATTTGTACTTAATTACTGCGGATCTGTTACTGATCTCGTGGAGATCGATCGATCCCTCGTTTTTCTCTTTTATACCGCGTGGATTTTTAGATTTTATAACGATACTAGAGCCATGAGCGACGCTGTTGTGATACTTCAATTCATCGAATTCAAGGATTTTTGGATCTCACGATTTATGAATTTTTGAATATCAGATTACTTTCAGTATAGAATCCTTGGATTATAAATAATTGGATGATTTAAATCGTTTAAGGTATTTTCTCGAACTCTCGGATTTTTAAATCTACACATTTAAATGCACGATTTTTTAAAAATTCGAAAGTCTCGCGCCGATCTATAAAACTTAAACTTGAAGAATTATTTGCAAAATATCCTTCTGTCGTTCATGAATCAACAACTTGTATCGACACTGTATTTTTAACGTAATTTTTGTTCGTCAACGGACAAGTTTATCGCTATGGACTGCCGATATATACATAAATGTACATCATATAGTGCAATCTTTTTAACATTTAACATTTTGCACTCGAGTATCATTTGGAAATATGTATAATCGACAAAATGTTATAATTTTGCACGATTTATGCTACTGTACATTTATAAAATATTACAAAAGTGTAAAAATAAATATTCCGTAACACTTTCGTAAAATACGTACATTCTGAGGACTATTTCACATTTTGCTATTTATTTATAATCGAACGTGAGAAAATTAATGGCCTCGTAAATTGACGAGTTCCGAATAAATTTTGATTTCGTAGCTCGAGTACAAAGTGTTAATAATGAATGACAAAAATGTTATGTAGCTGTTAGCATCTGTGGATATAGGGTGCTCTGTAAAGAAATATAAATTCATTGGCAAACATAGGTTTGTAAATGTTTCCGCGAAACTATGCGCGTTCTGCGCGTCGAATAGCAATTACAATTGTAAATTTGTTTTACTTTCCTGTGCTTGTTGATCTAGTCAAATATTCTTGGACGTGTAGGTTTCGAGAGAGATTTACGGGCACGCGTAGCTCTGTCGAGTCTCGGATTTACGGAGAATTACATCTGCGGCATTTGAATAATTTTGCAGGACTCTTGGGTTTATCAATTCTTGATTTTTTTAAGTTCTAAGTTCTAAATTAGGAAAATGTAAAGCTGTGTAACTGATAAATCCGTAAATCTCTAATTTCATGTATCCTCAGATTCGTAGAAATTTGAATGTAACGTGAAACGTCGCAATGCAACAGCAGGAGAAGCACAAGAGCGCTTTTTTTTCAATCGTATTTCGCAGGACACTATTCCTAGTCCGTATATATCCTAATTACAGTGATTATTATATCGCAATTTGTTACCCTACTATTTATACAAATGTACCCTATTCTCGCGAGAGGATTTGCGTTTCACGGATCAAAGGAGTCGTTGGTCCGTATATTTTATATTTATTCGCTGATTATTCGACGCGTCAGTTGTTAAAAATTTTGTAAGATATATGTGTCGCAATTGTATATACAATTTTTAACGGAAGACTAGAAACTGCGCAATGCTTTCAAAACAGAATGTGGACAATTCCACTTACTTATAAATTTACCTTCTATATTACGTAAAGTAAACGGAAAGTAGTGGAGCCAAATTTGTTACGATGCATACGTGTATCGCGCTGTTTATTAATAGAGAACGTAAATAGTGCACTTGTAGAACGTATTATAGCTCCGACGGATGAAAGGTCGTCGCTCTACCTTGATCTATAATAAATCATATACGAACGTATGTACACAGGGTGTGCCGAAAAACACATGTTCAAAATACAAAAAAAAACTCACCAATTGAAAAATAAATATTAAAAAAAAAAGAAATTCCGTAATTGCTGTATTTTCACTTATCCTTCGATTTTATCAGATTATGAACAAAATGCTTTACCTGCAGTTTTAATTGTGCTAATTAATATTAATGCTCAAATAATTAGCTTTACATAATATTTACATAATATGTGGTAGAAATGAACTTACTCACCGGATTGCTGATGCCTTATCGGCTTCACGTTGAAGCTGCACGCGATTTCAACTTCTTCGCGGATACTCGCTCGCGTGATGAAGAAACCACGGCTAATTATCATCGTAGTATCAATACGCAACGGAAGATATTGCATAGTACAATGATTGTTCAACACTTTGGTTAATATTCGCGACGTTTATTCATACGTGCAATTCAGCACCGATGACTGAAAAAGCCACAAAATGGTATAACTTCGATTAGAAACGGACGCAGAAACGACGCAAAACAGAGACGGCTGCAGCGCACGCCTCAGTCTGTTTAATTGACAGCTTTCCGCAGTTTCTTTAAATAAAATTTTTGAAACAAAATAAATTTGTAATCTATTCCAAAATAATTATAATACTTTTCACTTCGTACAATAATAGTTATTAAAACGTTGAACGCACATTAGATATGTTATATTCGAATAAAAATAATATATTATACATATTCGCGTTTTATAGTTATGTATTACTACGATTATTATGAAAAATACTCCTCAACGCGTATTCGCATAAACACGAATATTACATTCACGATTTAATAACTATTATTATTTACATTATACTTTTGATTTTTATGTAGTAATAAAATAGTAAAAGTCATGATATTAAAAAGAAAATCATTATACAAGAAATATAAAATGTAACTTTTTGAACCTAAACGGATGAAACATATCTTTCGAAACACATATATTTTCTGTAAGAGATAAAACGAAATATTAAAAAAGGAAGAACTCTGGATATAAAGGCAAATATTTTAGCCACGTTAACGTATTCGAAACAGTTATATTGGTTTAGTGCCTGTATTTTTTCAATATTAATAATAATAATAATAAAAATAATAATAATAAAGTATAATAAAACGCAGAATTAATTATCTACAATACTTGTTCGCGCGTATAGAGAATCACAAAATATACATAGAACAGACACAATGAAACGTCGGGGCGGGCATACGGCCCCGTTACTTCGTTTTAACGTAATCGCCGAGCAAGTTCCCTTGTTTTCGCCATTAACGAACCGGAAGCGATCAAGAGCGGGAGCAGGATGCGCGTGTGCGTGTGTGTATGTGTGTAACGTGTCTGAGTGTACTATTGATCATATTTATTCGTGTACTTGCGTACGGCTATAGTGAAGCTACGCCTTTTCTCTTCCTGACGATCGAATATAATATCTATATGTATCTATATATAATATATACATATACATTCAATACGCGAGAAAGTTACACGTATTCCCGGTTTCTGCTCGGATAAATTACGACGAACGCACCAGGTTCTCGCGATCGCGCGGACTTCCTCCCGGGACATGTGGGTCAAGGATCGATCCTCTCGAGATGCATTTTTATGCACTGCTTCGACGATGTTCATCGAGATTCTTTGCTATCGCAGAATATCACCCGAAGTAACAATAGTGGCAAGCCGACGCTACAATCTTCTACAATTACACAACTTGCCGCCTACAATTATCGCGAACGTTATTTCTTCGACCATTTTAACATACCGATGCGCAGCACCAAACGCAGCACAATGTGTTGCCGCAATATATTTGAGGACCGAGCTCTTGTCCGCGACAGAAACGAGCCCTTCCCGGCTTTAATATCGATTCTGGCACTCGCATGCTGGGTAGCCTCGCTCTCGCTCTTCCATATCCCTGGCAATATTTACATGAATCTATCACTAACTAGTCACATTCAGGCAACTCCTTAAACGCGGTACGCCGACCGGTCCATCGGGACGACCCATTTTTCGTCACAAACTGATGTTACACGTAATCGAGTTCTGAATATGACTCTTCGCCTCTCACAGACATTTCCTTTCGCTGACTGTTGATTAGGCTTTTAAATAAGCCAATTAATCTTAAGTCTGTAAATCGTTGAAGAGTCAAGTGTTACATTAAGATTTAAAAAACTCTTGTATTGTAAAAAATTACAATCTCGTAAATCTTGGCACAATTTGAGATATATTTATCCTACTTTATAAAATTTTCATTCTAGACAACTAAAAATTAGACTCCGCACAAATTTCAGATACTACAAATTCATAGTTCGTTGAATCAAAAAACGGTAATTTTAGAAACCCTCAATTTCATAAAATCAAACAAAAACGGATATTTAATTATATAAATTCTTCGCCGAATTTTAATTCTATGCTATGTGCATCTTATCTTCTATCATTTCTATAATTCTTGATGCTACTGTATTTCAAAAATCTCATAGATTTTTGCTCGAGATCTCGATTACGAGTAAACGTCAAGATTTTGCTCAACTCACGCGAGTACGACGAAACTCTAGCGACGATCAGTCTCGTGTTCTCTCAGTGTTGATAGTGAGCCGTGTCCGTGAAACAGTCGGCCGCCTTTTACGACGTCGAGTCGAGTTATACAAAAGAACGATAAAACTTCGGTGCGGCGACGATTACAACAGACGTGATTAATTTGCGTGTGACGAGTAGGCGGAGCGCGATTATTATTACTAAGATAGTTATTTCCTTTTTTCTTAACGAGGGTCGTTAAATGTTTCGCTCGTGCACAGCTACACGGAAAAAGGATACGTCTCGAGAAGTCACGTGAGTGCATTAGGGATCATTTCACCGTCGACTCTTCATGAAAAGACATCGCGCTTTAATCCTTAAGCAGCCGCATTGTTGTAATTCCGAAGCGATCTTGAAAACATAGATTTTCATACAGACAGACTCAAGATCTTTAAGCAAAATATTGCACTACTTGCGTTAACCGTCTGATAACCGATTAAATTTGACATTTTCTAATTGCGATTTTAAACAATTATTTTTTTTTTAATAATTATAAATAACGCAATCCACCTGTTCCGAGTCTTGCTCCTGCTCAAGGATTAAGTGACAAATGCATACAATTGAGTATGTATACGATCGGACATAACGCTATCATACAGATGCCTAAATTCAACCCTTACCTCTGGATTCATGAGTTTCCTGCCGTAGATAGACTTTAAGGCCATTCGTGGCCTTTCGTATAAGACTACTTTAATAAAATAAAAAAAAGAGAATTATTTACACAGTGAAACATAGTACACAGTCAGCAAGATAATACAGTATTTCTAAATAAAAACTTTTCAAGATTAATAAAGTAATAACAATATTGTTATCGGTAATAATTTCAATGAGAATCGAACGCAAAGAGAATGCAGATCCCGATATGGTCCTCCGCGTAAAAAATTTTTTCCCGCGGATAAATAATAATACAGTCGTATTCTCGCGGTTAAAAATTTCATAATTAATAACACAAGCCTGCGAAATTAATGGTTCTAAACAAAACAAGTAGCAGAATCGTGATTTCCTACGTAATTTTGGTCGCTAAGTCCGAATCCGCCAGCAAAAAATACAGTCTATCACATCAAGTTTTTGAGATATATGTGATAATATGAACCAAAAAACAATAATTTTTACCTGGGAATTATAAAATACAAGGTATCGTCGTATAAAAGTAGAACGGTAGTAAAATAGTTAATGATTTACTAGCGTTTTACGACCAAAAAACATAACATATAGGCAAAGTCATGGTTGCGCCCATGACTTTTGTCTTATGTATCAAACTGCGGGTCATGTCTCTCGCGAGAAACGTAGCTATCGCAGCCGCGCCGTGGCAGCCGTCGATACTTTGAATGTACTTTATAATTCACCGAGCTGCCGATTTTACTATACTTCGCGGTACGTAAGGCTGATCATCGAAGTTTTTATCTTAAAATCTTCATAACTCGGTGAAAAAATCGTACAGGAATAAACAAAATCGCTAATTAAAGGTAAAAGATAGCAGTTATAATGCAGCTGAGAAATTATTAAAAATATAATTTGGTCAGCTACAACAATGCCTTGAAAATCATTGTTTTTAGCTCATATTACCACATATATCTTTAAAAACCTGATGTGATGGATATTTTTCGCTTAATTGACCCTCAATTTCGCAGGCCTGTTTAATTAATAATCAACAGCCATTAATATCAACTTATAATTTCAAAATAATGCAGGTAAGGCTGTAGGGCCGCCGCGAGCCTTTATAATAAAAAAATAAAAAAATAAAAAAAAATCGCAAAGAAGGATATCGTTAGGAGGACACGAAAACAGTAATTCAAATGTAAATTTAAATAATACATTCGCTATTAATAATAACACTATTAAAACCTGTTAAATACCCATTCAACAGACAATTGCTAGAGTAATTATTATATAACAAAGTATTATATTAGAATTAAATAAATCCGGATAAGGGCGAAATATATCTCTTAGGGGTCTATAATAAGCCCAAAAAATGAGCTCGACTTTATCCCTATTACGCTTAGATTGATTGATCACAAAGCCGGGGCAGTTTGTTCGAATCGTTCCTTTGTTCCTTCCTGATCGATCGGCCGATCGATCGAACAGGAAATCCTCAGGAGGGAGATGTGTTGGATTGGAGGTATGTACGCATTGACAGTGATAGTTGAATGTGAGAATATTAGCACGCGATCATCCGATTCCGCGAATGCTTCTACTTCTATGCATTAGAATCGCGCGGATCTTCGGATCGATGAACAATTTCTCAGATTCGCGAACGAGAAATTCCACCTTTCGTCAATCTTACGAGAATCTTAAGCGGAATCTCATAATACATTTTTGCTTGTGAATATTCTGTCCATGTCTCCAAGTTCCTGCGTCTTCGAACTTCAAAGAATCCTTCGAGTTTCCATCGTTCGAGTATTGATTAGGCCTGCTGATCCGCTGACTTCTCGGTATCCCGTGCCAATATGTCTGTATTCATCCAATACATGACCCTCGAATCTTCGACGGCGCTAAATGTGTTACATGTCTTCGTTAATAATCTCCTTCGAGCTGTTTTGCGTCACGCAGTTCCCCTTTAACACTCTAGGAAAAGCGGCTAAGTGTTGTACAGGTGACACTCTATATACGAGGTCGGCACGAAGCCCTCAATCGGCTGCGAAATGCGTCGCACTCTAGTCCAACCGTCTCCCTGGTCCAGCTCGATCATGTACAGCTCTTCACCGTCGTACATTGGTATGGAACCTTCGCTAGTCGCTGCAAATAAAATAATAACAATGATAATAAGATTATAATAACAAGAATAAAATAATTATTCGTAATTCTTTCTTTCTGTTGAACTTTAATCTACATTTGTATCTTCATCCCTAAAACTAAAAGAATATAAAAGAATATAGAAAAATAGATCATGTATATTAGATTGTTCGGAAAGTTCATTTCAAATTTCGCACACTCCATGTTGCTATGGTAATCGGTGAGACCCGAGGCGCTTTTGACGATTTTGTGTTTGTCAACAAATCTTTCCGAATCCGTGAACTCGCCAACTCGCAGTCTTTCCTAACCATTTCGGCAGAACTCAGGTGGAAAGATGGAAAACTAGAAGATCCACTTTTACCATATGATGCTGTATTGCTTCCAACGTGGCTTCTCGGCTCCGCAGACTCTGAATGAGATGTCCTCTGTGTATGGAAATACTTGCGTCATCCACCGGACAGTTTGGAAGTGGTTCAAAGCTGGCGATTTCAATGTGGAAGACTAAACTCGCTTTGACCAGTCAGAAGATTGATGAAACGCTTTTTAAAGATCTCTTCGCGAAAATTCGCGAGTGACCATTAGAGAGCTCACCGACATTCTGCACAAGTCCGTTTCCACCGTCCGTAACAACCTGCTGAAGTAGCTGGGATTTTTAACTGTATGTCTGGGTGTGACACACAAAATGGGTAAATGGCAGCTGATGGAATATGTAAACACTTACGATATACTGCTTCAATGGCACCAAAAAGAATCCTTTTTCAAAAAGGATCAACAGAGAACGATAAAAACTGGATCCTATACAATAATGTTTGCCGCAAGAAATCGTAGGGAATCAGTGGCGTGTCTGCGCAAATAGTGGCCAAGAGGCGATGTCACTCAAAGAAGGTTCTTCTGATGGGACTTTAAAGGCATGGTGTATTACGAGCTTCTTCAGCCGAACGAGATTATCAATGCGGCGAAGTACAATTTTTAACTGGACGAACTGAAAGCTACCGTCGCACGGAAGTGCCCTGAATTGGCCAACAGGCGATGAAGTTGTCTTTTCACCATGATAACGTCAGCCTCACGATGTTCATCGATAGGAAGCTGCTGGGACTTCGAACGTTGTTCTTCCTCATCCTCACGAGCATGTTCCATTTGAATACTATCTATCTTTGAAAAATTTTGTTCGAAATAAAAAATTCGAGTCTTTGGAAACCCTCAAAATACCTTGATCAATTTTTCATCGATAAGAAACTTTCGTTTTGGAGCAAAGACATCATTCAGCTATTCGAGAAAAAATAGACCAAGGTCGTTGAACAAAGCGATACATATCTGCTTCCATAAATTACTCTTTGAATAAAATATTGCATTTTGAACTTAGATAGAAGATTGGAAATAAACTTTCCGAACAACCTAATATCCAGTCATAGATTTGGAGGGACTTACCATCAAAAGGATAAAGCGCTCGACACGTTCCTAGTGGTGGCTGAGCGTCCACCTCATCATGATAATACTCCTCGCAGCCGCTGCCGGGTAGCGACGTTCTCGACTCGCCGAGGCCAGATTCCGGGCTGTTCGTGGAACTGTGCATCAGTACCATAAAGCGAAAACCGTGGCTATTTGTCTAGTGTGAGGTGTGTCTAATCTACTCAACATCGCAAACCAAACGCTTACGCGGAAAAAGGGATACATAGCGACTAGATCGTAATCTAATATGGACCTAGAAGCGATTGTGAATAGCAAAACTCCATTCGTCACACTAATTTGTTGAAACGGGTAAAACGGCGATGACTCATGTATTAACACTTCGAATTATCTCTGTTGCTTATGTTCATTAGTTCCGATAAGATAAGAACGATTGCATAAAAGTCGAAGGTATTACAATGTTTCTTAATATGAATTTATGGGCATAGAATTATGAAACGGAAAACACGGAGAATTTATGAAAATTGAATAATTTGAATATTAATAGAATATACAAATATAATACTAATAATAATGGCAAATAATAATAAAATAATAAATAATAAATAAGAATGCGATACAAATATCGATAGAACGAGTTTATGAATTGAAAGATGTATGGATTTTTAAGTTTCGAAATTTTCAGAGTGTAATGTGACCTGTGCGTTACGCCATCATATATTACCGAGTCAACTTACCCATGAGTCGGCTGCGGTGTGCTAGGTGCGCTTTTCTTGTGAACCGGTTGATTCGCGTTCGCGTTACAAACGCTCGAGTCCGAGGCGGATCTCGAGAGACTCTCCTCGCCGCCCGAGTGACTACCTCTCCGTGAACTCAACGGCCTCGTTGCCGAGCCGTTGGTAGTAGGTTTTCGCTGTGCTTGACTTGGGCTGAAACCACACCAAGTCACTTCTTTACCTCTTTGATGAATTTTATAGTTAAACACATTACGCACAATAATATTGAGTCTGTTCAATTAACTTTGTAAAAAATTATATTTCAAGCACAATAAAGTATGCATGGTAAAAGCACGTACTATTACACTATTACTCCATATAAATATAAATCTTTTATACTTCGCGTTTCGCTGTTCACAGTTACACTATGAACGTTCCTCGCTTTTAGAGCGGTCGTTTGTATGAATAACAAATATCGGCGCAGTTTCTTGCACAATTCTGTGCAGCAAAGCTGCATTTACCTAGATAAACTGGCACCAGCGCGCATTGCTTCTTCGAGGTAGCCTTGAAACTTTGCCAATTCAACTCCGAGTTTGTCCAGTTTGTTACTGGACTGGTTTAATTGCCCCTCTATACTCATCGGATCTCCGAGAGCGGGATTCTGCTCGTACACGCCTTTCATCTTCATCAGACCGTCCCTCGCCGCGGTCTCCTGCTGGATTTTCGCCTGGATCTCGTCCAGTCGCTGCTGCAGCCGCTTCTTCCGTTGATTCGGTGGCAGATCGCTGCAGTCCTCCTTGGCGCCGTCACCGTAGCCAGGCACATTGTTCTGGAATTTGTGACAATAAATATCGATCCTTTGGAAATTATCTGTGCATATTCCTGAGACCCAAAAACTTTATTTGCAGTGGAAATTTTCGATATTATTAATATTAATATGCATTTATTAATAATAAATTACGTAAGAAAGAATAATAATTTAAGAAAATTTTATCATTGTAAAGCATGAATTTTTCTCTCTTTCTCTCTTTCTCCTTTTCTTTCAGCGTATTGCAGTCTAGGTCTCAGGAAAATAACAGAAAGAAAGATGAGAAAGCTTGGGAACACATTTTTTTGTTGAGCAATTCGTTTCGTTAATGATCTGCGAATTGTTAGTAAAAACTAGCATATACAAAAAGTTGATATTGATGGATAATTACAAAAATATTTATTATCGCTTATCGTTTCAAGCGATAATGGATAATATGAATAAAATGTATTCTCTTTAGTATATAAATGACGAAAAAAAAATTAGAACCAATTATTTCAAAAATGGGAATAATATTTAACCCCTTTGGTGCTAGAAAATTAAAAATTTGGTGTTAGAAGAATTAAAATTTAATTTCTTTAATTACAAAATTCAAATTTTGAGAAATTCGCAGATTAATACTATTAAATATCAATTTTACATTTTCTGCATTTTGTAGGCTCTTGACAGCCTTTGTTTTCGCAAAAATTAGATTTGTTTAATTAATTACATACATCTCGCGGATGTAGGAATTCCCACAATTTGATTTTCTACGAAATAATCGAATTGACGATAAAGACAATTCTGCTCTCGAAGAAGCGATTGCCTGTCTCATCTATTTACTACTGCACGTAAAGAAGACGAGCAAGTTTCGAGCACTTGTAAGCGTTCAGCACTAAGCACCAAAAGGGTCAATCGAAAAACGATTGTATAAAGGACAGACCTTTAAAGCTATGCACACCTCGATCAACTTCTGTCGTTCGCATGAAACAAATCCCAAAAGCGTATCATTCAGCGAATGAACAGGATGGACTTTCAGCAGTGGCACAAGCGAGAACTCAGGTTATTTCAGAAACTATTAATCCCAAGTAATATAAGATGTTTATGTCACATTGTAACATTAATCCATTCTTTATAATGATAATCATAATTCACATTAATTCAAATCTAAGCTCCTACAAAATTATTTAATAATACATTAATTCTAAAGTAAGTTTTAAAATGTAATTCAACTTCACAAATTCTATTCCATAAAACTAATTATACTTAATCAGTCTTATACTGATCAGGATTAATGAATCCGCTGGGTTCACGCTCTTCAAGACATTTATTAACGTTATATATTTTTTATTTTTACGAGGCAGACAAACAATTATTATTATACATATACGTAATTGCGAGAGCGAAAAAGCGGTCTACAAAGTACTTACTAAGTGTGATAATATCCCAATTCATAGCCCGTGACGATTGGAAACAAGAAGACCACAGGCAGATTGAACCATCCACCAAATTAAGAGAAAGTACAGAAGAAAAATAAGTTACGTTTTTTGTTATGCAAGATCAAACGAAAGAATGATTGCAAATTATGGTCCGAATGTATAAAAATAAAAGAAGATACATTAATGAACTCGATTCATTGCAATTCTTATCAGAGTTTATCAAACCTAATCATGACATAATCTTTAATCATTTCAATTCTTATCAGAATTTATCAAATCTAATCGTTATTCTTTTTGTTACATTAATCATTATCTATATATTATTTAATAAGAGTTTAAGCATATAAAAGCATTCAAAAAATTTATTATAAAAATTTAATATAAAATTTTTTAATATAAATTAAATATATTTACTATGTATTATTATACTATTATAATGTAAAGAGAATATAAAGTAAATGTGATAGATTTTTATATAAGTTAATAAAATCTTGCATATTAATAGAGAGTAAGCACAAGACATTTTTCCCACTTTAATTGCAGTCTTAACTACAGTTTCAGATTTAGTGTTTTCAGATCGATTTTATAAATAATATAAGTTCATGTTATCATATGAATAGAATTTCCTGAATCGCAAAGCGCATATAAATTATATAGAAGCAAAATAATCACTTCAAAATAATAATAATTTGAAGATGCAAAAACCGCTCCGAGTAATCATAGATAACAGTGCACAAAACATAATTGAGAAGTCGCTCGTAAATAACGTTACTGTAGCCGGTCGGAGAAGAATGCGGAATCTACTAATGTACATGCGCAATAGAAATTTGTGTGCATATAATAAAAGCAGACCTGTCGGCGAATAAGGAGATGCAAGTATACACAAATAATGATAAATCAAAAGAATAATACTTCAAAGAATTGTCATGCATGCTGTGAAAAAATGATCTCCAATATCGTTTGCAATTTCCTTTCCTTCTCACGACCTCGTAGATGGCAATAAACAAATAATAATATGCAATAAGTTACATTAGCTCTTCTTTGAGTCGTACGAGTCCTCGGCTTACAACATTATGAATCAAAAACAATTATTTTTTCGACGGATTAAAAAATTTACAAAATAAGTAATCGTGAGGTATGTCGCAAGAAAAAATTGTGAAAAATTATATGGAATCGCCCAGACTCGACGACTTCACAAGAAATAATACGTATAGGATATCTGAAAAGATATCGTTCTAATAAAAATGCATTCAAATAATAAAATCAAAATAATCAAAGATTAGTAATGAATAATTGTACAAGATTTATATTGCATTAAATTACAACGACCAAACAAAGAATTAAAAAAAAATCCAGGGGAAAAATGATAATTATCGATTGTTTTTCATTGATTGCTTATCAGCTGGTTTCGTTAAATTTAAGGACGTTCATCCGCTCATCTTTTCAACATACCCTATGCATTTAGAATGCTGCACGAAAGATCCCAAAAGATTTGCAATGATCTTTCAGAACAATATGGACGAGTATCTACCTTATTACTGCCGAAGATCCCGAAGAGGCCGACCCTTTTCTTGATCTTGCCACCAGAGACGGTGCCCTTGACCGTGAGGTGATTATGGATCGGCTGCATGACCGGCTGAGCCAATTGACTGTTGCTGTCGTAGTTCTTGGCGACCGACAGGTCTTCAAAGGGAAAGTCTCCAGGTGGCTGGAAACCACTCTTGTAGCGTTCGATTACCAACATCGTGTCCTCCTTCTCGTTAATCTCATTCGCCGCCTTCTCAATGCCATCTAAGCACTGGGCAATTATCGGCGCCACCGCCCGCTCGATCTCTACCGATTTCATCATGTAATTCCGCATGTTCTTTATCCTTTTCTCGTCCAGCTCCTGCGGAAAAACGTGACGTATAAGAATTATCCATGAGAAAAGGACCAATAAAGGTAATTGGAATTGAGTAGAATAACATTGTAATAATTTTCAATTAAGAAGTTAATAATACTAATTTATAAAATTGATATTGATAGATTTATGTGTAATTACAAATCTAATTAAATCATACACTACTTAGGCAAACAAATTAAAGTTATTTTGAAGTAAAATTAATTTAAATTTAATTGAAAGCTAGAATTTTACGATTAATTAGTGCATAATTTAATCCAGGATTGTTCAAGTTTGTTGAAATATGATTATTAATTCAAATCTTTTTTTCATTAGACAGTTTTTTGAACCCTTGTACAACGATGAAAGGGAGAATAACATTACATAAGAGTTACGGACACTATAATAAAACGCAATCGCGCACAGTTATGACAAATAAAAGTAGTACCTGAAGATGTTGAAACACTTCCGGCATCGCTGTGTGGTAGTGCAACGTCTGCATGTCATTCGTTTTTTGCAGCTGATTCGCATACTCCGTTTTGGCTTCCTCGCTCTGCTGGGTCTTCATGGTCATATTCATCCTCTGCTTCTCGACCTGCTCGTCGGCAGAAAGAAAAAAAAAATTGGTCCTCATCGAGCGTCAATAGAATATGGAATTTTTCGTCAATCGTTCATAATTTAAAGGCACAACGTTTCTTCACACGTTCTATCTATCCGTGGAAAAAGCAACTTGAGATTCTGTCTACGTTCCGTCGAAATGATATACCACTGACTCGTCTTCCCACTTATTGTATACGCGGTGGGCCACTTTCGGAGACAAAGACCAGCATGCGAAAGCGGGCGGAGTTTTTATCATCACAAAATGATAGGGGATTTTTATCACGCACCTCTGCTCTCGAGAGATTGAGATCCGCGTCCGCTCGCTGATAGTTCTCCACGGCGCGCTCCGCCTCGCGGAAGGCCTTCTCGTAGGCCTTCCTGGCGCGCTCCAGGTTGCCGATCTGCCCGGCTAGAGTGGCCATCAGCCGCGCGCCCTCCTGCAAATGCTTCTTACGATCCTCCTTGAAGTCCTTAACCAGGATATTGAGCTCCCGCAGGACGTTCGCCTGGAGGTTCTCCGCAATCACCTCCCGCTGACCGGCCTGGTCGTTCACTTCGTTCAACTCCATTTTGAACGCCCGGCAGGGACTATATCTGGAGAAACACAAGCTGCATTCTTCTCTTTGTTCTTTTGTTCTACATTTACTCATATCCCTTATCTACTTTCTCTTTTCAAGATTCTTTTTAAAGGTTCATTTTCGTTTGATTAAAATTTATAACTGTGTTTTTTTATACTCACTTTAATATTTTAATATTTTCAAGTCTATTTTCTAATTTTCTGACTCTGTCATTCGCTTAATTTTATCGTAAATCTGATACTCTGTTCTTTTGTCATTTTTTAAATAATTTAGTAAATTTCTAGTTTTGCTTGTTAAAAAATATCAATGACCTAACTAATTGTAAGCAATTTATGTTTCACATGAGTAAACTGCCTTAATTATAAATTAAATGGGCAGACAACGTTAGCTAATTTAACGTTATTGTTTTTTAAAATAATTTAGTACAATCGTTGCGTATATGATAAGAATAAGTTCTGATCTACACAACGCCTACACAGGCTGATTTCGCAGTACAAGAAGAGCCTAAATCTCGGCCCACGCCGATTAGTATGACACACTCTTTATACTACTTCATAAAGAACCAACTCAGAGCGCGAGAATCTCTTTTGCGGAGTTATTGAACTTATAAAGCATCTTGCCTACTACGAGGTACAATAATCTCTGTAAAGTTAGCATCTTATTTAAACAACTTTCTTTATATTTTGATATAATTTATAAGATTGTAACTCTTTCCCGACGAGTTTCCAGAGTTTCCCTGATATCGTTTCGAAATGAGGTCTGACGAGTCAAATGCAAAAATAGAAATCTAAAGATATAAGATTCTAATATCACGTTTCTGTTGCACAAAAATCGATTATAACTTTCTAATTTCGATCAGGATTGGATTCTGGGTCGCGAGATAATCAGCCTCCTGTTTCTTCTTCATTAGAGTTTGCAGAACGTGTTTGCATTAATGTTTTGCTGATTTGTCGAACGAAAGAATTACGCGCAAGAGCGAAAAACCGAGGGAAGTGAGTCGTCGGGGAATTTCTATCGAGGTAAAGCTCGTTTTACTTTAAACCTGCTTTAACTCCCGTTTTATTTTAACCCTGACCTAACCACGCTCCTATGCGCGCTTAATTACTCGCGCGGTGCACATTCTGTGCGCCAAGTCAGAAAATTAATTATGGCTCCGTGGAACTCGGCACCTATGAAACTGAAGATCGGTAGAAGTTCTCCATGGAGGAAATATATCCGCTCACAGCCTATATATATTTTTTTTTGCCTTAATAAATCCTGGTTGATATTATTCAGGAATGCGACGAATTCCAACGCGTTGTGTGCATATAATTGCGGAATATACTTTTACATCGTAAGAGGCATAATTGAAAAATAAGTATCTATGCTAATTTATAAAATCTTTACCTTGAAAATAATCGCCTCAGAAAATTACTATTTCATTCGTCACGGTACAATTATCTACTTCCCTCGATTAGAGCAACAGTAGTATAATCCATCTCAACAGCAGACAGTTTAAATATATGTTTGTTACTGTTTTATGTTTTGTACACATATACGAATTCAACAATCTAGCTGAGATCGCCAGTAACTCGAGAAAAGAGAGAGAGAGAGAGAGAGAGAGAGAGAGAGAGAGAGAGAGTACGCGCGCACGTAGCTTTATTTACTTACTGATAATCCTCTTCCTCCTTCTTCTTCGGTTGATAACTCTTCACGAGACGCCTGTAACAGAGAAGGGAGAAATAAGATTATTGATGCACGCTTCTCACGAAGGTGAAATGACATCGCTGAGAAACGTTAGGCGAATAGCAGAAACTATTAGATTACCCGGAAGTAAACTGCATGCTCGGAGAAACGATCTCTGTATTACCTCCAAGTTGCGATTTTTTTAAATCCAGGATTGCGACAGTCGACATATACATAGGTATATTGTCTGACGAATTAATTTCTTCAGATAAATAAAAAAAAGCACCTATTTTATATATATATATATATATATATGTGTGTGTGTGTGTGTGTGTGTGCTTTTATCTTTCATTCATATATTTTTATCCTACTTTAATTACAAATTCTATTAAAAGTTACATTTTTATTGTACAGAGTAATCTGACAATTGAAATTGTGTACATGTAGAGAGATACCCATTAAATTATTATATTTCTAAAATCATATATGCGAATATTCTGTGAAGCGTATCGCAATTCATTCATCAAGGAGCGAAATAATTTCCTTAACACGTTCGCGCTACGATAATTTGAAAAACATTCGCCACAGATCACGCTACAATTTTAACAATTTTATTCAATGTAATGTGTATTACAATTATGCACACAAAAGTGTTAAAGAAAGCTATTAAATAACTATATATTTATATTTTAAATTTTACATTTTCCTTGATCTTATAATATATATACATACATTCTGCATTTTAAATCTTTAAATCTATATATTCTTGTTTCATATTCTATATTCGAAATAATAATTTTATAAGTCATATCGGCTTCTAACGAGAATACGTCACACATATGTGATGCGCGATAGCAAACAGGTTGCATTGTGATGCAATTATAATATATTTCAATAGCGATACAACAATATGCTCGAAGAATTGCCACATCTCGCAATTTCCACACGCTCGCTTCCTGTTATGGAAAAAGCCGTTGGTCGGGAATTTACTGCAATGCACGTGGTCATTCCGGCCTGTCGAGGTGCATCGGGGGGTCAAATCGCGGATTGTGCCGCCGCGCAGTAATCGAAGAAATATCAGATCGCGCGGAATTATTTTTGGTCGCGGCGTAGATTAAAACGGATCTGGGCGTGCCGTTTTAATTTTTACGGTGCGCCACGTCGGTCTATAAATACACTATCACGTTGAATCTCATGCGCTTCTGATACAGCGGAGCAACGCGGAAAAAAAAAGAAGAGGAACGGAAGATGAGAAGCGGAAAATCGCTTATACGAAGTTAATTCTCGTGCGATAAAATATTTCAGAACTTTCCAAGAATCATCCAAACGCACGGGCGATCCTTTTTCCGAATGTTACCCAAATTCCCGGATGCTGTTACGTTGGATATCCGGTCGAGTCTCCAATTACTCGACAGATCGTACAATTTTTCGGATATTACACGGAATTGAGGTAATTTTCCCAGAATCGTCTCAGAATACGCGTGCACTGACCGCCGCAATTTTAACACGAAAGTGAATCGAGGGTCTCGGGCTAGACGCTGGAAATTGCAGCGAATTAAGACGAAGGACGCGCGAGCGCGATGATTCGTATGCAGCGGCAAGAGCGAGGCGTACGCGGCGAAGAGCGTGAAATTATTTCTCGCGGTAGCACACCCGGTTCTAATTGATTCCTTCATTTCATCAAAATCGATTTATTCGGTCAAAACATCCCGTACATTTTCTCATCAATTTTCCCATTAGACATGCAAATTTCATTATAAATTTATGCAATTTGCGATTTGTATAATCATTTGTATTACAATATAAAATATTATTAAGATAATTGTAATTACATAAGGTAATATATTTCAATAATTAAATTCCTTATGAAAGATCATGCGGCACAATTTTCAAATATTTTTAATTACAACAGATCGCATGATTGCCGAGTTCAATATAAGGTACGTCCAAAAAACGAGGAACAATAAAAATACCTGCATTCCAAATAAATCTATAAATTTCGTTCCGGCCATATACTTTCGTGGATTATGCCGAAGGACAAACTGTGCAATTAATTACGACTAATGTTGCACGCAGCGCGACAGCATTTCGGAATGTGCGACGAAGTAATTAAGCGTAATGCAAAACGGAGTAATTAAGCGGTCGGAGTGGATGGATTTCGAGACACCCGATAGAACAAAAGTGCGCCACAGTGGACTGCATTCACAGAACGGACAAGGGATTCCTTTAACACAATATTAGTCGCTACAGATCTCGCCTCGTCCCTGAACCCGCGGGGTGTGCGTGAGACACGCTCGTTACACAGAATGTCCCATTGAAATCATTTCGCCTCGGATGCCTCACCCTTTGTCGGGGCACTTAAAAAAAAAAAGAAGTATCGTATACGAGCACGTCGACTCGCACGACAGGGTGCAAGGTGCGAGGTGTACGAAGGCAACGAGAGGCCCTGCGCACCTGCCATCCCCTCTTTTATCTCCGACGCTTTCAATTATTTTCAAAACTAGGGCAAAATATCTCGGCTATTTTTTTTTAACTTTGCGCATCTCTGTATTCTATCGTCTACAAGTTTTAAAAGAGAAAAGTAGAAAAAAAGATAAATAAAAAATTAAAAAATAAAAACTAATAAAATAACTAAGAAATAATAATAAATAGGCTAAAAATGTAAAATGCAGACAGAGACAAATTCAACATTTTTTTAATTTCTCGCAATTTCCTGTAAAAAACTTCTGACACAGAATGCCCCACATTAGTCTCGCAATAAACTGAAATGCATATCACTTAAAAAAAATTTCAAGAAATATTTTTGATTATAAAAGATTGAATAATTAATGGATTAAACGGGAAATTTGTTCCGTTTTTTGCTAAGAGATAGCATTAGTATAAATAAAAAAAAGGAACAAAACTTCTGTTCAACCAAATATTAAATTATCTCTTTAAATCACGCAGAATGTTTCTTCGAAAGGTGTCTAGGTGTCTCTAAATCCATCTCACCTAATCTTCCATATCTCTTAATTTATATTTTTAGGAACAAGTTGTTATGTTTTCTCACCTGAGCTTCGCTGCGTATTCAAATTCGATCGCGCAACGATCGCGTATGAAGTGGCCATACCTCTCGAGAAATTCTATCCCTTTTTGTGTGTGCAGGGACAGATTCTCGAACTGGTCCTGAAAGCAGAGACAAAGAAACAATAGAGAAAACAATATTGAACTGCTTGCAATACTTAAAATATACGAAACTTGCTTAGAAAAATAAATTACATGTACACTTTACATTAAAGTATTTTTTTTAATTTTTACAATGTTTTAGATATATTTAAATATTTTATATATATTTACTAATTGGCTCGTACAAATGTGATAAAAATTAAATCATAATTGGAAATATTTAAGATATATAGAAAATAAAGTTATAAATAGAAAATAAAGATAGATAGTTATAAATAGAAAAGTATCGCAGATTTAAAATCTTTGACAAAAGATTTAGTACATTCTGTATTATGCTTTTACAAAGAACAATAAAAAAAGAGACATAATCGTTTGGGTAAACGCATACAAGAAAGTTCCAATAAGATTTAATCTTAAGAAAATAACTTTTCCCATTTATTTTTATTTTTTTTCATTTTTTCTTTCTAATCTCTTGGAACACGTTCGTCTAAAATTGTCGATTTCGCCGTCAGGAGAGTGAAGACTTTTCTCCGTCGAACGAACAATCCGACCGTATCTATCGCGGTCGACGAATGAGAAAAACCTCTTGGCACACATACGCCCCGCGTTTCCTCCTCCTCCTCCACCTCCTCCACCGCCACCTCTCCCCATCGCCACCGGCGCGGCGGGACAATGAGGAATTTCGCAAGAAACGTGCGCGGAGATTTCTGAACGTCGTTTAGCGGCTCGGCACGAAAAGTGAAACTGAACGTACTAACGTTCACAGTTGTCCGAAGTAAAGTACACAAACGAAGTTAGTGCGCGCATGCAGTCGTAACTTCGACGACACATCACAATTAGCATCTCGTGCAAACTCTAATCCTCTATATATATTCGCGGGATAACGACCGTTTCGCGCCCTTACGCTCGTAAAGCAAAGGCCCGTGTTGCAATTTTCTCACCATTAACTCCTTCGTTTTTCAACATCTTGTTAGTTAGATGAGATAATAAATTTGAAATATAACGAGCGCATTATTTTAAATGAATAACTCTTTACATAAAACAACAAAGCCCTACAAATCTTTTTGCCGCTTTTCTTGATCTCATTGTTGCGTTAGACTCTTCAATTGCGGGACAGAAGTGCACCGTGGCATTGTGCTTCAATAACACTACACAGACTTCGTTTTCTCTTCATTATAAAAAAAAACGCGTTTCCCTTCCTTATTCGAGAATTTGGAAAGTTGGATAATCGATGGAACATGATACTGGTCGATCGAGATGTCTCCTCTCACTCACTTACGGCGGAATGCGAGCTTTATCGTTCAAGGACGATCCTATCTTTCGACATTTATGCCACGGCGCTGGCTTAAGGACAAATCGGGTCGCCGTTGCAGCGTGGCAGAAAGAGAGACAGAGAAAGACAGAGAGAGAAGAGAGATGAAAGATCTCCACGGTCCACACTGGCTGGCATTCGAAACGTGTTACTTTCATTTCCAACGTGCGGGGCCATTCAAGGGCCACGCGACTTCTTACGTGGCCATACGTGGTGCGCGCGTCCTTCTTAGTCTTCTTTTGCAACGTCTCACCTTGCCACGTTACCAGCGCAAACGAAAGAAGAAAAAAAAGGGACAAGATCCCGACCGGAACACCGGAGTCACGTGTGCGCGATTTGCGGTCCGGTTTAGCCGAACAGCGCGGAATGAAAGAAGGAAGTCGCGCGAAGATTTTTCTTCACTCGACCGTGAATAACTTAATAAATAAGATTAACTCTCTCTCTACATGTGAGATAATAATCTTCAATCTATCCTGACTACGTTCCATAAACGCGCTCGGGTCAGCTCGAGCAATTAAACTCAATCGGAAGAAATTTCAGCGTTTTACCGTTTTCTTTACTTCTTGAATCTAAGAGTCAAGTGTAGAAGTATCGAATTCCTTTAGCTGGAATTCATCACTCTATACATTTCGTAATCTTTGAGTAAAGACTTGTTAGATCATGTACAGCGCATTAGCTTATCGAATTTCTACACTCATAAAATCTAAAATTTCCCAAATCTTCCAACTTATCGTTAGCAGCTCATCTGCTTTTTTTCGTCGGATAATCGTTCTTCTAAATTCGTTGCAGGAAAAATGTATAGAAATAATACTATCATTACCAATCGGAAGACGATGTGCTAGTTCGAATACATAAAGCGAGCGTTCGCCCCGAAGAATAAAAATGGAGCGCGGAAGAATTAGACGATTTCACGGGCCGCTATCGCGGGGCCAAGTGTTGAACTGTAAATTTAATTCGCGATTTCCACGGCGATTTTCTTCCATTCGTTTCAAGGTTTACGGCTTGCGCGCGGCTCGAACTCCCGAGTCACAACTCCGCGTCGCAATCGCGCGCGCGGACGAAGTCACTCGTGCGTCTCTACGTCTCTCGGATCGGAACAACTTTCTCATTGTGATAACTGTATAACGCGGCTCGTGGCATGGCAAGTAATTTGCAATGAAATAACGGAGAACTGGTAGCGCAGGTGATAGTCGCCTGTATTCCGCAGAAGCTTTCGAACACACGCGCCGTACGTGAAACGGCGTGCGTGAAACGACGAACGACGGCAGCGGCGACGGGCAATCACCGATCTCCGGTCGTTCTTTTCTATCCTCGAGAGAGATATCCCGCCCGGTATCTCGACGCCTGATTATTAGATTCCGTTTTTCCTTCCACGCCGGATATCGCGTACGCCGATAACGCCGCCGATTGCGAGGCACGATGGCGTATCGCATATTTGAGGTAATGCAAACTTGCGTCTATGGTTCAGCGAATTTGTACACAGCCTGAGTCACAGTAGAAACAGACCGTTTTCCCGTGATGCTTACAGATACGAAAAAAAGAAACCATAAACACAATTTTCCTCGAAAAAAAAAAAAAAAAAAAACATTCTAACATTTAATATAAATTAAATAAAAAATAATTTTTATCCTAAAAATCTCTTTCTCTGCCTGATTTTAGATTACTGAACTCAAAACTCAAGTTTCAAAACACTATTACGATGTATTGAACTTATCTTGATATCAATGCAATAAGCTAGAAATAGAAAAGCATTATGTAATATATATATATATAAAATTTTAAAAACATTAAAAGAAATTTGATAATTCTGGAAATTTTTTTTTTAATTATGCTTATCGTGCTCTAAAAGTTCTCAAATTTCTTTTTACATACTTTTTTCGTCACATCTTTAAATCTACGACAAATGTTTAAATATTGTTTTTTTTCATCGTGTGCTACTGTTTACATATCAAAATTTAATATTTTCAAAATTTATTAAAAATAATGCAAACACAATGCATATGCTCAAATAAATAGTTAAAATATTAAATATTTATGTGTGTGTGTGCAGTATATATGTAATATACAAATATGTATACTCGCAATCTGATTATATTTCCCTGTAACACAGCTCATTCTTTAAATATTTGCACGATTAAAAAACAAAGACATTACTTTTACATGCCTTTAGCATTGAAACTTGAGATCATCGATATTCTAGCGATTTCAACCCTTGATATAAAAAAAATCGTTGTTTGGATTAGTATCAAGTGAGTGTCCCAAGTATCAATGACACTCGTAATTCATTGGATGACGTCATCGTCGTTTCTGGACTGAATCGATTGTGTGTGTGCGATTTGATGGAGAAATAAATTAAATTATATTCCATTATGCCGAATCGATTTCCTCCCCCGCGAAGTGAGTGCTAACCAATCCTGCGTTTCGCTCGTGTTGCAGGTCGATACACGGGAAAACGCATCGACAAGCTATGACTCATCGCGGTGCGAGCTTCTCCAAAAAGGTGCACTGGCATGGCAAGAGAAGGGATCGAGCGGACAATCGCAGAATCGAGTTATCACAATGCCGATAAAAACAAAATCAAATCTCAAAAAATATATAGCGTCTATAATGTTCTCTTTACTTATTCTTTATTCGAATTTTTGTTTAATGGTACATGGCAACATGCAAATGTATAAAAATCAAAGCGTAATCGAAAGAGATAAAAAATCTAGGATAATAAAAAAATTCAAGAAAAATCAATGACAGATTACATCACATTATAAAAATGTTAAATACGTCATAAAGTAAAAAAATAGATGGATAACTAGACAGATAAAGATAAATCGAAAAAGAAAAGCGGAGAGAGGGAGGGAAAGAGAGAGAGATTTTAAGTCCAACAATCCAAGCGCAAAAAAATTCATCCTCTTTAGAATGGAAGTGCTTCTTTTATTTTCCCACTTTACTTCTTTTCCTAGATTCTGGCACTCAGCTCACGTCTGCAGCAGCAAGGAGGTTGTAGAGGGAGGTCCGACGGAACAGGGAACATTTTTATGAAGGCGATCAATAAGAAAAGCGTGCTTTCTGGAGTAAGAGCGAATAAATGTATACCATAAAAATAGTTTGAAAACTAAAGCGTCACGGGGCAAACCTACCATAGCCGCATGGGTTCGAACAAGTGTGTATTATGAGTCACGGAATAGCGGCCGAGGGGGTAGCTCCCACACCCTCCACCCTATTGATCCCACATTTCTGTATACTCACGCGACTCAAGAGGGACGAATGAGAAAATAAAGAACGAGCAAGATAGACAAGAGCTAAAAGAAGGGGAAAAAGAGAAGATGAGACAAAAAAAAGAGCGATAAGAGAAAATACGGAAGTACAAAAAAAAACTTGCAATATAATAGCACTGCGAAAAAATAATGTGTAGCGTTTACCTGAAATAAATATTTCTCTTTAACAAAAAATCCTAGACTTTAATTTGTCAAATTATTTAATACTTAAATCAAACAACCGTGATACTCGGGTTACATTCCAAAATGTTGCTTTTGAGAAAACTTCTATTAAAAAGCTATAGTTTATGTTGTTATAAATTTTTACTAAAATTTTCCCCGAAAGTAATGTTTTGAAATTTAGCTTTAAATTAATCGTTTCTCTCACAGAAGCGTAATAATTAATAACTAAAATTTTTTTCTGTAAACTTTATTAATATCTAGTTAAAAAATCATAATTTTTACACAATTTTTATTTTTATTCCGTTTGCCTGTCTCCGTGTTTCATTTATGTCACGAGATAAAATAAATTTCAAATTGTTGGCTTTTAGAGGTCCTATTAAAAAATTCATGCTTATACAAAGTTACGTTTTCGTTTTTTTTTTTTTTTTTCCCCCAATAAAGTGCTACTAGATATCCAATGCGTTAAAAAAATTTAATAAATATTGCGACCTAATTTTTGTTGTAATTTCGTGGTACAAAGAAGTTAAAACTATAAAATTGATTTCGAATAATTATCAAACAACTTTGAAATATAAAATATAAAACAATCTCTGTTTAATAAAAAGATTTTTTACATAAAAATTTATACTTTTTATTATTTTCACTCCAGAATGTTATTTAGTTTTATTTTTATTCTAACACGAAATGTTATTATTTCCTATTTTTCGAAATAAATAACAAGATTGTTAGTTTTGCCAGAATAAATAAATATTTCAATTCACAATTCAATTCAATTTCACAGGGTTCAAGAGGGTTGAGAAATTAAAATATATACAAAATATATACGATTTATATATTTTGCTTATACCAATAGAGATAAGAACTAGAGAAAACGAGGAATATCGTGAAGAAAATATCCAAAAACGTGACGCCGAGGGGGGGGGTCAGATGTCATTATTGCGCTTCGCTATGCATTGTAAGACTCACGGAATGCATTCACGGGCTTCACCTCGTGAACAGGCACAATGCGTCCAGTGTTCGCGATAAAACGCGCAATGCAATAATCGTAGATCATGCACTTCAAGCCGCCGCGCCGCGACGGTCGGCACGTGACGGAATTACTATTGAGGACGCGTGGAAATTGAAAATTATAGGTAATCGGAGATCGGAGTTTTATCGATAAGATCGGGAACAATAACTCGAATATCATTAAATGTAGGACAAATTGATGCTTAAAAAAATTTTTTATACAGATAAACAAACAACTTAGCGCAATTGCAACGCAAAGCTATCATGCATCATCTACAAATTTAATAACAACGTTGTGAACCTAGCACTCCCACCATTAAAAAAAAAATTCAAATATGTGCTAATTAATATATATCATAATTAAGTGCTAATTTATTCCGAATTTATTGTTTCTTCCCTAATCCCAAATTTATTATTCCTATCCATTCATAAAAAATAAATATCAAAAGTGCTGAAATGCTTCACGTTACGCTAACCATCCACTTTCAAAAAATATGTATAGAGTACTGTAAACAAAAAACAGATATACCATTTGCTCTAAGTGCAACAACATCGAAAATTTTGAATAATTATGGATGTATTAACCTTTAAATTACTATATCGGTCTCACAGACCGCTATTAAAACGTTACTTGTCAACAATTTTCTTATTTGTCATCATTTAAATATATTTTATTTCTGTTATATGCAAGATTTTTTTATTAATCCTCACATTAAAATATAGTTTTCCTTTTCCCCATCAACAAGTAAGATGAAAACCATCAGAAAACATACATTTTTATTATAATTAACTTATAAAATTAGCGGAAGTATAATAGCGATCTGTTAGACCAAAATTGTGGTTAGTGTGATTCTTCTGGGCGTGGTGGTTTAAAGGTTAATATCTTTATAACGATAAATATAAAAATAAAACGCTAAAAAATAAAAATCTAACTACATAAATTTTCCTAAATTATTACTCAAATCAAATATTCGTGAAACATGTTACTTTGGAATTTATTGCTCACGAAATAGTTTAAAAATAATTCTAGAGTTAATTGCATCTAAAACATCCCAGTTCCAATTTATTGCTTATACTTTAAACTTAAGATCTTTAAGTTAAATAAATCTAAACAAGTGTGACGGAGCGTCACGTACAAGAGTGAAGTATATTAAATTATTTGCTGTGCCGATTTCGGTTTTACAAATAATTCTAGAATTAACTGTTCTTAATTATGGCATATATTTGAATTTTTTAAAATAATGAGGTACTAAATTCGCAGACGTTTTAATAATATTAATTTCACTATCCACGATCTTTTAGGTATTTTTCGGTGATTCTCAGAGAAATCTGTAGTAAGTATGTCAGGATGGGTGATAAGAAGGTCCCCAAAATGACAAGAATCCGTTTTAATAAATATTTAAGAAATATGTACACATAATATGTGCTTGACGATAATTTAATTTAGAGACTATTCATTCATTTCTCACTTCGAAAACAAAATAAGGTTATCAAGGATAAGAGAAAAACATGTTTTACTTGTTAAGTTATCTATCACACAAATCTGTGTGGATCTGTCTTTTGTTACCATGAACTCTAGTCAGGGACCTTCGGCCTATAATGCCAGCTCTGTGATATCTCGCCTCTCACCGGAGGAGAAACAAGTTTACCCATCACTCCATTAACACACAAGCTTAAGCGGTACGATAGTCCATCCTGACCTACGACAATATTCCTGGAAATTCGCGGGCATCCCCGACACTCCGTCTCGAACTTCGTTTCTTTTTTTTTTTTCGGCAGCGAACGTCTTCGCTTATGACACATTAACACTGAATTATATAGATATATATGATTACCGATTATGGATATATAAATATAATCGCTAAATGGAAGAGTGACATTGCTCTATACCACTAACTCTTTCGATCTCGTTCAATCTTTTTTAAAATAACATTCGAATAGATTCTAGAAATAAAGTTTCAATTTAATCCTAATTCGAGTTGCATCAGCGTTAACAACATCGTGTTAAATTACCAGTATTTTTCTGGCCCTTCGTCTCATAAAATCAGAAAAATACCAGTACACACACTCGATTACGCGTTTACTCGTTCGCTTGTCTTCCTGAATTATTCCTACATTATTACTGTCATTTTTCGCGACACCGCGCGTAATTGTAGCGGACACGGTAGGAGCACCGGGGGCTCTTATCTAGAAAATATTCAAAGGTCGAAGAGGCAGCCGGCATGCGCCGTGCTTTTCGCACATTCATGAGCACAAACAGATCCTTGCTCTTGAGCTTTTAATAGACACCGTAAATCCTATAACGCATCTCCGCGCACAAGTGCGAGCACGATCGTAGACGTTAATCTCACCCTTGACGTTAATTAATTTGTCGTGGCTACTTGACTATCGCGAACAATAATAAAATTGTAAGTTTAGAACTTATCACGAACGATTAATTAATCGTATCAAAGTACGCTATGATTTTTTTTTAATTGACTGATTTATACAAAGGGCATATTTTTAACGTAAATTATGCATGAACTAAATAGCGCAAGGAAAAAAATAATTTTAAGTTAATCGACAAAATCGCATAAATATTATAACTCAATTATTAACTGTAAAAGAAATGCAACATTAATATAATTAATTTGATTAAAAACAACCAGTTTTCTTAAAACAATTTATTCATTACTTTATTAAATTAAAATCAATATGTCAAAGTGTGTTAATGGCAAGCTTCGATTACGTTACGCACGCACGTTTTGAGATAAGGATAAGTCTTCTAAGAGATATCTGCAATAGGATTTTTTTTTAATCCTATCGATAATACACGAGAAGAATGAATCTCAGCGGGAATCTTATCGACGCATTCATCTGCGCACACGAGATGTAATATCGAAGGCATGCATAATGAATGGCACATGAAGCGTCGTATATTTATAGGCATTGAACATGCTGCAGTAACAATAACGACGTAAATGATTGCGATGAGCTGTATTGTCATCGTCGATTTCGCAATTGCCTCGCGTTATATTTATCTAATCTACGATTTATCTCGAGATTCTGATCCCCTAATTTACCATAATTTTTTCTCAGAAGAAGTATAATTCTTGGATTTGAACGTCTCATTGGTCAATATTTGCAGAATTGCAATATTGATATCTTTTTTCGCGAAAAATCTCGCATTCCTCCAAAATCATTTGGCAGGTTATTGATTTCAAAAGCTATACGTGATTATATTAATACATTAAATTATTGGATTAATAATTTGTAATATATGTACATATATATATATATATATATATATATATATAACAATTATAGTAATTATTATGGTATTATTATAGTAATAATTATTAAATTATTATTCTATATTATTCTTTCTCTTTCTCTATTCCTCTCATCCCAAATATCTTATGCTGAATAAGTTAGTTGAAAAAATCGTGACGCGATAGCTTCTTTATTCGACGTTCGCATTAAACGCAAAAGTCACGACATTTCGAGAAAAAAAAAAAAAAAAAAAAAGACGTTACGCGTTGACATTTAAATTGTTTGTGACGCGTCACGAACACTGATATATTACAGATCAGTGGTCACGAGATACGACCGTTCTCGTTCGATAAAGACACTATACGAACGCGAGCGACCGCACCTCGCTATCTCGGTGATTGCTGGAATAAAAATAAGAATAAAAACGATAAAACGGCGCAAAGACTCGCGGCGCAGTCGTTGACCACAACACGTCGGAATGACGGACGCCTCGTCGATTCTACCTTAATTAATTCGTACCGCATGTTTATGCGTGCGAGGCGAGACGGAGGCGCGTACGTGCGTCTCGCTCGCGACGTGTGCGACGCGTATGTGTGTGTCAACGGTCTCATTTACCGACTTTCATGAGAATTATATGAAGAAATCTTGACAATTTTTATTCTAGACTGTCTCACATCCGTTGAACTGTAATGAGTAATGACAGATTCATTGACCACAATGATCATTTTTGCGACCTGGGTGACTAAAAACGTGTGACCTTTTAAGGACTGTGTTTCGAAGAAACCAAACGGAATCTCACATTTCACTCAATAATTTTAATATAATCTCAAAATATCTATCGGAATT